AGAGAGAAAGAGAAAGAAAGAGGAGTTTCGAACAAAAATAAGAGAAATCTAATGAGAGAAACATAGAGATTTGAAAATTAGAAAGAAGAGAAAACGAATAAACTAATAATATGAGCCGAAAAAATGATAAAATTCATGTAGCAAATAGATAATGTTCAATCTGATGTTTTTCAAATTCTACAGTACCCCGACTTGGACGAGACAATTTTATTATTTTATAGTATTATTAATTCTACCGTATTTCAAAAGCTTTTCATCAAAGTAGTATATTGCTAAGTTGGTAGTACATAAAATTCTGAAAATGTTAAAAAAGAGAATAATATGCAGATGAAAAAATGGTTTGACATTTTAAAAGAATCTAACTAAATCTTGATGTTGAAGTAATTGGAGTCAAAATGATGCAGCCTCACGTAGCCGTCTTCACCTCCACTAGAGAAACTGAAAAATACATTCCACAAACTCAGTGAGAGAGCCAAAAACACACTCAAAAACTCATCATGTGAGGATTGTATCAATCTATCAATCAAAATCAAATGTTGTTAGTTTACCTCTTCCCATCAGGATTGAATGCCAACGCATTTATAGGTCCAAAATGACCTTTCACACCACCTATTTCCTCTTCCAGAATCTATATGTATTATATACAAAATACACAGTTATATATCTCTTTTCCAGGTTACATGTTTTCAAATAAAACTTTCTAATTGTAACACTAACCGTGTCGTAAAACTTAGCTTCAAACTTCCCAGCACGATGATCAGTGGTAGTCACAGCTGATGCATCTTGACCACCTCCAAGCACAACCTAAGAGAGAGCAGAAACATTCACAAAGATTAACATCAAGACTTGTGGATTTTGGAAATTGATTTGAATTTTCAAGAAGCATTAATTCATACATGGTTGAGAAGTGGAGACATGGCAACAGCATTTACAGGCACCACTGTTGTATAACTCTTAATAAGAGTCAGCGATCTCATATCCCAAAGCTGAAAAAATCAACAAAAAGAACACTTTATTAGATGATTTATCTCTACATGTATGGTGCAAAACTTTGAAACAGAAGGAACACATGCCTTTGCAGTTTTGTCATGTGAACCTGTAAGGAAGTGAGAGTCATCAGCTGCTTTGCAGAGCGATGTAATGGCCTCCTTGTGACCCACTTCCACATCTGATTGCTTGAGCAATTTTCCAGTCTAGTAACAATGGCAGTAGCACCACATAAGGTTTAAAAGGGAAATTGATAGACAAAAGAAAGCCATGAAGCAATATGAGCTACCTCGGTATCCCAGATTCTGATAACAGTATCTTCACCACCACTAACAATAGTTTGGTTCAGAGGACCCCAAACAGCTCTATTGATCTTCTTCTTTCCGTCAGGACTTTGAAGGACAAGCACAGAATCACCAACCTCTACACCATTGCATTAAACCAATTTCCTTTTAGATATACAAGACATAAGGCTAAAAAACATAAGTAGATTTGAACCTAGAATTGACAACTTACGGTCTTGGGGATCTTCCGCAATGCGTTTCACATGAATAGCAGAGGAAACTCCCATGAAGTGATCAGTGGTAATCACTGCAAGATGATCTCCAACAGAGAAATCCACAGACCTCGCCGAAGAACCAAAATTGAATGTGAATAATTGTTTTCCAGATTTTACATCCCAGAGCTTTGCAGTCTGATCAGCACTACCAGTGATCAATCTTGACGAGTCTCCTAACAAATCACAAACAAATAACTAAACATTACTATTTAGTTATCAACAAAGACATCGACTAGAACCCTAAATTGAATCCATTCCATCCACTCAGTACTATATGAATTTGAGAAGCTGAGCAACTTACGGGAGACATCACAGCACGAAACAGCACCATTGTGGCCACGGTAAGTTCCAAGGCGCTCGCCGTTATGGGCAAGCCAGAGGGTGGGAGTGTGGTCCTTGGCGCAGGAGAAAAGCAGATCGCCATCTCTGTTGTACCTGAGGAATGTCAATGGACGTTCATGTCCCTTCATCAAGATCGGCGTCATCCTCGTTTCTAGGGTTTGATGCGAAGAGTTTTGAATCTTGAAAACATACGCGAAATCGATTCAATAGAAAGAACAAAATATGATTGAATTATCGGAATCGGATTAGCCACATCTGAAATTCACAACTCACAAGCATCGTATAAAGGAACTAAACTTGTGCTAAGTTTAACATACGCGAGATATGCATACATACTTGGCGAACATCTAATCGAAGACCTTCGGGATTAACGCACTCCATTGTCATCACGGAGGAGGCGACGGTTGAAGGACGGTTTCGATCAGCGGTCAGTGAGATTTTGAGGGCTTTAGGTTATCTTGTGAATTCGTTTAAGGCCTTGTTTGTTTCATCATTTGGCATTTGCATCCAAATGATCTATCCAAATGATCCATTTGGATGATGCATTTGAATGATGTTTGTTTGATCATTTGGGTAGTTCATCTTAATGATGCATTTAAATGGACTTTTGTTTGTTTGATCATTTGGTAATTCATCCACATCCTCATCTAAATAAAAATGACTAAAATACCCATGCATTTAAATGGACCTTTTAAACCAACCAACGTCATTACAGTGTTCCTAATAACAGTGTCTTTAAACAGAGCAAGCAGTGGCATAATAATCGATTTGCTTAATCTAGATAGAGACTTTACCAAACAAGTATTTGCGTCTCGATTCAAACCCAATTCCTGAAAGAACAAGTCAAGCATCATCAAATCCAGCAACAAAATCAAAACTTAGAAAACACATCAACCAAGGATAAACAATTACCTTCATAAGGTAATTGTGTAGGACCAAGAATCATAACGTTGAAATACCGGGAGCTGCAGCAATCAATCGCACAAAACTCAGATAAAATCATATATAAGACCTGAAAACAAAGACATGAATCATAAAACTAATTATTGCTTAAGTACACAAACCTGTTAATATGGAAGTCTAGTTCCTTTGGCAATCTCTGCAGTAATAGAATCCCGTGTAGCCTCCATAATTCTGTCACCAGCAGGTACATATGGAACATGCCCATCATTTTCATCACCATGCTGCTCATATGATTCCACCATTTCCCAATGTTTGAAATCACTATCTTCTTGCTGTGAATCTCGGATAAAATTATGTAACGCCATTGTTGATGTCACAATCTTAATCCACTTCTTCACTTCATACTTAGGGTGTTTCCTGTCTAGTATTCTCCATTTAGCCTTCCATACACCGAAAGTTCTCTCAATTATAAGGGAGACCACATCCTTATAGCAGGCAGCGAGTGTAGAACCTCCATGGCTCGAAGCTGACAACAACTAAACTCAGGGTGTCTCTCGATTAGTTGATTCTTGTGGGAAAGAATCTTATCCCGCGACTGAACACTATCCTTAATCACTTCTGCTACAACTTGTTCAGCTTGTACAGACCTTGATCTTTTTTTACTAGTCCTTGACTTACTTGCAGATGAGGGACCATTGCCAACATTGCTCTGAGTAGGAAGGATCTGCCTTGATTCAACATCATCATCTTGAGTAGGAGGGATCTGCCCTGATATAGCATCATCATCATCATCAGCTTGATGCATTGTGTCTAATTTCTCTTCACCTTGTTTAGGAGCCCAACCCTCGGCTCCACTGATATGCACTTTACCAAATACCTTTTCCATCAAATCCACATTTGCCATTGGCTTCTCTTTAATTTTCCGAGCTCCAGGCCATTCCTAACAAATAATAAGAACTCTCCATATAAGCACTGATAATCAACGATAGAAGCATCTTAAGAATCTACATACCTTACACAATTCATTCCACCAGTCATCAGACATTTTTATGCTCCCATTTGGATAGTAACCAAGACCGGTTCTGTTGTGAGTCAGCTTCCTAAAAGCCTCGTACTGTTTTTTGCAAGTAGTAAACTTGATCCCAAATTTTTTCCATGGATGTCTTTCCCCATATACCTCATAAAATCTATCTATAATTGATTGTCTCCCAGCATCATTCACAATCTGATTTCTTATATTTCCTTTAAGCTTCTCCTCAAGTCTTAGTTCAAGGTAGAAACGAGTTTGCTCATCATTCCACGCAAGATTCTTAGTTGAACATATGTTTTTGTAAGAAATCAGTCTAAATTACAAAAAAAATTCATTAAATATAAGTTTAGAGGAGAATATACTCACATCAGTACCATGGATAGTTGACATTTTTCCTTGAACGAGTTCTGTCCTACACATAAAATGGCATAAACATGGCTTTTAAAATATTTTAAAACTTGGATTCCATGGTCTCTTTCTCATTAAACAAGTTTCTATAATAATGTCACGTATCACATGGTCTCTTTCTCACTAAACAAGTTTTGTAGTTTACATGATTAGACCAAGAGGCTAATAGAAGAGACTACCAATTATGTGAAGCTTTTATCAAAAACAAACCATTTCTGTGAGGCATTTCATCAAACATGTGGTTGGCATCAACAATTTCAAGCTCTAGACTCGTCAAAACCATTTAGTTGTTAATTCATAAACCTCGTAATAGCAACAAAGCACTTCTAATCATTCAAATTGGAACTAATTTCAAAATCAGAAGCAGTATTATTTAAACCATAATTCTCAATTCATTACACTAAGAACAAAACGAGTGAAATTTGGACAAACCCACAAGCTGAAATCAAAGGAAGCAGATGCAGAATCAAAAATAAAGTATAGCAAAGAACGAAGCGATGAAGTTGCATCAAGACTATTGAGATATGAGAGAGAACAACATCAACGAGAGTATCACATGAAGGAAGCTGTGAGAGAGAACTAACCAAGAGGAGTAGAGAGAGAATGAAGCGAGAGAGAGATCGACGAGAGCGAGGGATCGAAGCGAGAGAGATCGAAGCGAGAGAGATCGAAGCGAGAGAGAACAGAGCTTCGTCTCCGAGAGAGAACAAAGCTTCGTCGCCGAGAGAGAAGAAAATCGAAGTACGTTTAGAAAAAAATCAATGTAATTGTTTAGTTTAATCAAGGGTATTTTTGACATTTTCAACATTTGACTGAATTATCTCCAGTTGACTGCACCAATTAAACTCAGCCAAAATTTTCAATTTTTTTGGATGAGTTTGATAAAGTTCATTCAACTGATTCAGCTGAATGGTCGGTTAAATGGTTTAAAAAGAACATCATTTTTCATTTCCATTCAGATGGATCATCTGAATGGTGAAACGAACAGCACCTAAGTGGTGAGGGTACAATTGGTTATAGGCCTGGGCGTTCGGATATTCGGATCGGGTTCGGATCGGATTTTTCGGGTTCGGGTTTTTCGGGTTTAGAAAACTAAGACCCGTTCGGGTATTTTAAAACTTCGGGTTCGGATCGGGTTCGGATCGGGTTCGGATCGGGTTCGGATCGGGTATTTCGGGTTTGGATTCGGGTTTACCCGAAGTATCCAAATATTAGAAATTTTGTATCCGATTCTATGCAAAGTATTGAAAAATACTCAAAAAAATCTATAAAACTCAAGTATTTTATACCCGAATATAACCCAAAGTAGTTAAAACATCCGGAAATATCTTAACATCCGAATAATTTAGGCACTTAGGTTATTACAATTATAAATATTACTAATATATTATAACTATGTACTTATATTTGGGTATGTTCGGGTACTTGTTCGGGTTCGAGTTCGGGTCGGGTTCGGATTCGGGTTTTCGGGTTGTGAAGTTTAGAACCCGTTCGGATATTTTAAAACTTTGGGTTCGGATTCGGATCGGGTTTTTCGGATCGGGTTCGGTTTGGTTCTTCGGGTTCGGATATTATGTCCAGGCCTAATTGGTTATATAACTCCGAATAGAGCCACGTGGTAGTTGCGGGCTCGAAACAGTCCACGTGGCCTAAACATGTAATCAATAGGACCCATGCCATTTTTTTTGTTGGCCAAGTTCATTTTAGAAATGGAAATATCTCTGTCCCTCTCTTCTCTGCTCAACATGAGAATTACAAGTTGTTTGAATCCAAATAATTATCAGTTTTAATCGACGTACAATATGCCATTTTCTTATTTAGCATATCCACTAATCAAATTTAAAAGTTGATGTATTTGTTTCATGTCTTAGAAAAGAAAGAGGCTATAGAGTGATGCATAAATACATTTTTGGCATAACAAGTTGATGAAATTTCATAGATTTAAGTTTTATGAAGACGAATTTTAAGTTCCAATATATGAGTTCTTTATTAAAAAAAAAATCATCACAGATTTTCTGTTCCATTTTTGAATGTTAAGTAACGCGATTGTAGAGGTGGACATTTTAAACCACTTGACTAAAGATATTTTCCAATTGATTAAGTAACGCGATTGTAAATGTAGACATTTTAAACCATTTGATTAAAAATATTTTCCAAAGTGAATATACTTTTGGAATTTTTTCAGTTAGAATTGTTATAATTTTAGTTTCTTTTTAATTTTAATTTTATAATTTCATTGTGAAATGATTTCACAATTTTTACAATAGCTTATTAATGTAATTAACATACCTTATTAGTAAAATATTGAAGTGATTATATTAAACTGAAAAATAGAATTTTAGTATCAAACTCAAGATAATTATTTATCAGCTTGAATCGACTAATCTATGACTCCGATCATTTCCACGTATAATTATACTAACTGAATTTGAATATTTTGCTGAACGTATGAAGAAGAGAAAAAAGAGGGAACACGTCTGCAACAAAAAACGGCGCGCGTGAGTCTCGGGCCTAAAAACAAAAACGAATTCCCTTCCTCACGTCTCACCCTTCTCCCATTAGCAAGAGAGAACACAACACAACACAACACAAAAAATCTCTCTCTCTTCCCAAAAACTCAAAATCTCTTTGAAACAAAGTTTCCATCTCTGCCTGCAATCATCATCATCATCATCATCGCCTCTCTCTCTCTATATTCAAGATTTCTCCTCAGGTTTTATCTCCCACCCCTTCTCATCAATTCCAACTCTGTTTGCTATTAAAAAACAGAGAGATTGATTTCGTTTTTGATCTTCTTTGATACGATTTATCTGGAGATCGTCAGAGAGGTGTGAAGAATTAAAAAAAATGGCAGATTATCAGATGAAACCCGTTCTTCAAAAGCCACCAGGTTATAGAGATCCAAACATGTCGTCTCCTCCTCCTCCCCCTCCTCCCATGTCACAACAACCTATGAGAAAAGCCGTCCCTATGCCTACTTCTTACCGACCAAAGAAAAAACGCAGAAGCTGTTGTCGTTTTTGTTGCTGTTGCATCTGCATTACTCTTGTCCTCTTCATCTTCCTCCTCTTGGTCGGAACAGCTGTTTTCTACCTCTGGTTCGATCCTAAGCTTCCTACTTTCAGCCTCGCTTCCTTCCGTCTCGACGGATTCAAACTCGCCGACGATCCCGACGGCGCGTCTCTCTCCGCCACCGCCGTTGCCCGCGTTGAGATGAAGAATCCCAACTCGAAACTCGTCTTTTACTACGGAAACACCGCCGTGGAAATGAGCGTTGGTTCAGGAAACGACGAGACCGGGATGGGAGAGACGACGGTGAATGGATTCCGACAAGGCCCCAAGAATTCGACGAGCGTGAAAGTGGAGACGACGGTGAAGAACGAGCTCGTGGAGAGAGGACTGGCTAAGAGACTCGCTGCGAAATTTCAAAGCAAAGATTTGGTAATTAATGTTGTTGCAAAGACTAAAGTTGGATTAGGTGTCGGCGGAATTAAGATCGGAATGCTCGCCGTTAATTTGAGATGCGGTGGCGTTAGCTTGAACAAGCTTGATACTGATTCACCTCAATGCACCCTCAATACACTCAAATGGTAAAATTTTATCAGTAATTAGGATTTGGTTTTTGATGTTAACTCTTACATCCAAATTTTCGAAACTTTATGAGATTATTAATTATTACATTGCAGGTTAAATATACAGTAATGAGGACGGAAGGATTTGAGGATTTGGAAAAGACGGTTATCTAACTACATCCGTATAAATATTTGTAACTTTACTGTAGACATAATATTTTTCCTTTTTTAAAATTTTATATTTTCATACTCCATTAATTTTTATTTTTGGGGGCATTTGATCAAATTCATTGAGGGGCATATTTAGGGAGTGTTGTGTTTTTATTTTTTGTGTGTAATAGTTTTTTTTTTTTGTCTGTGTAATATTTTATGTGGGTAATTTATTTGGGAGGAAAACATACTGTAATGTGATGATTATTTATTTTTAAGAATATTTCGACATTTTTGTGTAATGGTGGGAATTGTTGTTCAGGTGGTGTATGAATGTTTAGACACTAATGGGCCCGTAATAGGGAATGCTATAGGTCGGATCTTGTCGATCCAAAGACGTAAAAAAAAAAAGCGGTGTATGAATGTTTAGACACTAATGGGCCCGTAGAGTATATGGACTTAAATGTTTCGTAACCAAAAAGATAGATTCCGAATGGTGTTTGTTGGTTTGTGCCATTTTTGGGACCTAAATTGTTAAATGTTAAGTTGGATTCCGAAAAATAATCTGGTTAAAATTATAAATTAAGTTAGGCATGATATCAGGTTGTTTTTTTTTTTTCAGGTTGTATTTTTTACAAACTTAGCTTCTGGTTAAATCAAAATATGTTGTTGAGTTTACTAAATTTATCTTCAACTAAGTAGTGAACGATTAAATTGCTAACCATTGACAATAAAATCAATAAACAGCTAACCAGGAAAAATGGCTTAAGAAAGATTTTTTTTCAGAATTAGAAGAATAAGAAGTCCAAAAATAACACACAAAAAAAACCCACTATATAACTTAATCTGTTTTTCCCCATGTTTATCGTTGAGAGAAAGAGCTGCATTTGTCATTCAATCTCTTATATATTAATTGAGAAGCATTTTTTAAAAATAACCTCACCGTTATGTATGATTAACGAAAATGCCATGCTGACGTGTCGTCTTCACAGAGCTTCTTAATCTGTTTAGTTAAAAACTCAACATTTATTATGATATTTACAGATTTTGTCATTAGTTTTACTCATGTTTATTTTTTCTAATTAGTTTATGCTTTTTATTTTTCTCAATTAATTAAAACGAAAATATAATTAAAATATGTAATTAAGATATACAAATCTATACAAAATGGAGTACCTAATATTTTGTGTATCTATTAATATAACAAGATATATATCATAAATCATGATAAACATAAAATTTAATACATAAACGAAAAATTTCAGTAATCTTGATAATCATTAATACACTACCGTTTATCTAATAATATAAAATTCGAACACTTTCAATATTATCAATATATTAAAATATATTTAATAATCGTTTTGTTCCGCACATAGTACGAGATATTATCTAGTATGATTTGTAAAAGTGATAGAGGATATGTAATGTACTGTCTAATTGAGAAATGAGAATGTACTATCTTTAGTATTATCTATCGTACGAGTGCAGGTTTCTTTCTGCAAAATTCTCACTATACAGATAGTAAAACGAATTAGGATAAAACTAGATCACATGTCGAAACTCGGAAGAGAAGCCAAACGGAGGAGAAGAGAGTCGATCACTGTTTTATCCTATATGATGATGAACTGATTCAAAAAGTGTAACTTGTTCACGATGTTTATTCCCTTCAACTAAATGCAATAATAAAATTAACAGAGAGAAAAACATGTAGACGATAATACAAAGACCATCTCGTTTCCTACCTACACCAACTCATACCTCGTATAACCAAAAAGCAAATAATAATTAGGTGAAACAAAAATACTTTCATGCCTCAACGTCCAACGCATATCGTGGCAATTTATTTTGTTATCGCTTTGTCTACAAGGTTGTTCATGTGGCCCTAATAAGATAAGTCCAATTTCTCTTTTGTTTCCTCTCTTTTGCTTCTTTCTATTAATAGATTAATGCATGTTAATGCACGCCACATACTATATAAATTAATTTTTGATTATAGTATTCCTTATTTATTTCCCGCTACGAATCTCTTAATTATTTTAAATTGATTATCTTCCGAAACTGCTTCTATTCAACAAAAAACGAGAGACTAGGTTATGACCCCAGATTCTTTTATAACAACTTACCAAAGAAAATGAATCCACCTAGATCCCAGAAAAATATACAAAAGAACCGGACTTGGTCAGAACTTCAGTAACAAATAAAGAGAAACTGATTATCATACGTTTATATGAACCAAATGGTTTTCTGTAATTAAAGTTGAGGTAAATATTGTTTCCTCATAAATCATAATAAGTGCCAAAATATATTGCGAAAACTATCATTTCAGGAAAGTTTTCCAAATTTTGATTCTTTTTTTCTTTCCAGTGTCCAGTTTTAAAGCTGAATAGTATTATCATTATAAGGAAATGAATTATTTAATGGGTGCAATCACTTGATCTCCAAGCAAACAGATCATAATTTCCCTAAATTAAAACATTCTTAATTCAAATCAAGATCGAGATAATCTTAACAATATCAATGTTCTTTACCAAAAAACTTTAAAAACATTCCAATAACATCATTACCATAAAATTCATAATTCTGGTAGTGGGTCAAAAGGAGTGAGTGACAGTACTGTGGTCTCACGTGAGAGAAGGCCCATTTATTCTCATTAGCGCGCATGACTTTCACGAACATCTATGGGCGCGTGTCGTGGTACAATAGTCAAAGTTGCTTGTAAACCAAGCTATAGAGTGACCAAAACCGAAGCTCTTATACCGATATAATCCACGTGTCCAAAATCTAGCTCTCTGATCGGAGAAGCGGCTAGTCGTTTGAATCTCCCACTAATCTCTCTCTTAATTACCTTACTTAATATTTTCATTTACAGAAAACATAATTATGATACGGCCAAAATCTCGGAAATTCCATAACGATAACGAAATTTTCGAAAATCAAGAAAGAAAGAAAGTAAGAAAAAGCAAAAAACAACAAAAAAAGGAAATAATAATATTTTGATAAATGTGAAGTAAAAAAAAACACTAAATGGGAGGCGCCGCGTGACTATATTTAAGAAGGGATGTTATTAAGAAACGGCGATTTCTTGCTTCGTAGCCTTTTTGACTCTTCTTCCTCCGAAAACTTTTTTACTCTCTCTCTCTCTCTCTCTCTCTCTATATCTCTTCTTCTTCTCCTTCTCCGGCAACTAAAGAGAAATGAAAAGCCGAGTGAGAAAAGCTAAGTATACGGTTCACCGGAAAACCACCTCCGTTCCGTTCGATGGTTTCCCAAAGGTTGTGAAAATCATCGTCACTGACCCATGTGCTACTGATTCTTCCAGCGATGAGGAAAACGACAACAAATCTGTTGCTCCGAGGGTCAAACGTTATGTGGAAGAGATTAGGTTCGGTGAAGACGACGATGAACCTAAACCGGCGAGGAAATCGAGGAATAAAACAGCCACGGCGGCGGCGGTGGTGAACGGTGGTGATTTGGTGAAGCCTGTGGTGAAGTATAGAGGAGTGAGACAACGACCTTGGGGAAAATTCGCGGCGGAGATTCGTGATCCTTCCAGTCGTACTCGACTCTGGCTTGGGACTTTCGCCACGGCGGAGGAAGCTGCTATAGGTTACGATAGAGCAGCGATTCGACTCAAAGGACATAACGCTCAGACGAATTTTCTCACTCCTCCTCCTAGTCCGACGACTGAGGTGTTGCCGGAAACTCCGGTGATTGATCTTGAAACGGTCTCTGGTTGTGATTCGGCGAGAGATTCACAAATCAGTCTGTCTTCTCCGACTTCTGTTCTCCGGTTTAGTCACAACGACGAAACAGAGTACAGAACAGAGCCAAAGGAAGAACAAACTCCGGTCTCGGATCCGTTTTTCTTGCCTGACTTATTTCGCGCCGGAGATTATTTTTGGGATTCCGAAATTACCCCTGATCCTTTGTTTCTAGACGAAATCCACCAGTCGTTGTTACCAAACAACAACAACAACACTGTGTCTGATAAAGAAACGAATCTGTCCGAGAGTTTTCCGTTGGGAGTGATCGGCGATTTCAGCTCATGGGACGTTGATGAGTTTTTCCAAGATCATTTGTTGGATAAGTAATTGAGTTTAAAAGTTGGTTCTTCCTCATAAATTTTCTGGGTTTCTTTTTTTTTGGTTGTGTGAGTGAGATGAGTGGTTTGATGACAACGACGGGATGCATCTTAGCCGTCCGTTTTCCCTTTCGTGGACGGCTCCGATCAGCGGAAGAAGCGCAACGGAGTTTTTTTATTTATCTATTGGAGAATTTTTAAATTTAATTTCCGAGTAAATATAGTAATTAGTGTTAAGATTGTGAGAGTTTAAATTATTAGGGGGGTTTTGAATTGGGGATTTTGGGAGGTTTTTGTTGTTTGGTTTCTCTCCGAGTCTGTCACAATGCAAGGACGCAGTATATAGAATAGACCGTATATATATTTATTATTATTGGTAAAAGTATTTATTTAGTGCAAATCTTTGTCTTTTGTTTCCTTCGCATGAATCTCTCTAGCAAGTGGGGTTTATGTGACTTGTCATTTTATTTGAATTTTCTTGTACATATAAACATCAAATCAAATTTTTCTCTCCTAAACAAATAAATAATTTAAATAAGACAAAAAAAATCAGGAAAATATCTTAAGATCCTAACTACAATATGGATTAAGACCAAATCAACTATCTAATTTTAAATGTACATATAGTCAAAAGACAAATTAAATCTAAAGAGTAAACAACCATCTTCTTGTGCTTTTTTTTTCCTTCTCTTTTGGCACTAAGTGTCAGAGCAACAATGCCCATTAATGTGAAGAACCAACTCATTGAATCATGTATTACCCTACACATTGTCTCCACTTTAACAACCTTCTCAATTTCAAAGACAATCAATTACTACACCCTTTTTTTTTTTTCTTGCATTCAAAATTTGGTCCATGTCTACGCAAATAGTTCATTTGATTCGATACAAAATTTTGAATGCAAGAAAAAAAAAATGAGAAGAACAAAAAAAACAATGAAACAGTGAGGAGTATAGAAAGATAATGTATTGGGACATGAACTTAGATGTCTTTCTGTCAAAGACCACCACAGACTCTCTTTTGGCAAATTGGAAATTTAAAGGAAAGAGTTTTCCAATGAAGAAGAAGACTTCTCATGATCTCGTCGTTGACCTTAGTCCCCCACTACAACATTTTAATTATTTACTTTCTAATCTATCAATCTTTCGATTACGACGTTTCCTAATATAATTACATAAAAACGTCTTATGGAATTGTCATTTATTTATTCACATGGTTTCAACCTGTCACTCTCTGTCTACTTTAGGAAATGTTTTTAATTTGATTGTAGACTTTTCTTACACTTCTACTAACTATGTTTTTTTCTTCAACATTTTTACTTTCTTTTTACAATTGTGAAGAGAATGAAGTAAAAATGACCATTAAAATACTTAAATCAATAGGAGAATAAATAGAAGAAGAGAAAGAAGTCTGTGATGTTTTAGAAATAAAAAAGGACCATTCACCTAAAACAGCAATAACAACAGTATTGGTCCGTTCGAGGTTTAATTTGACCAATTGAGTAGATTTGTCTCTTTCGTGTTTTAAAAATTGGAGTTGGACCAGACCGTTTTTGGCTTCCCGAAGTGTGTGTGACTTAACTGCCCTGAAACCCTCTTTTTCCTTCAGAAGCAGAGCGCTCCCCATTCCTCTATCAGAAATTTTAACAACAATCAAAACTGAAACCTTTGATTTTCGTAGTTGAATGGTCAAACCAACAAAAAAAATTGTTCAAAAATGTTGTGGATTTTTTTAAGTATAATGCAATTTTTCATAGATATCTAGTGATGGTTGCACCAGAAAGAAAGAGACAAAACATGTTAGATCACTTCTCCGATCAAATCATAAATATGAAAATATTTTGTAAAACCTTAAAGTTGGTTTGTTTTCAAAAAATATATTAATCCATAGTAGTGTGGCAAGAAATGGACCACTAGGCGTATAGAATCACAATGAAGATTTAACAAAGCAAGAACAAGATATAGATATTCTAAGATCTACTTGAATAAGACATGCAAATGCATTAAAATTAAAAAGAACAATCGACCTTTTAATGCAGTCATCTAATGCGTGTGGCAGGAAATGCTCTGTAAACAAAGTTTTTAAATGAAGTCGAACATAATTTAAAAATTGTAAAACAATATCGACCAATCGTTTTTGGCAGTAAAATTTAAAAGACTTTAATTTGTAATATCTCAGTAGATGACTGAAAAAACAAAAAAAAGTGGGTCTAAGCCCATGTAGCGAACCACGTTGCGAAAGGAAATGTCTTTATCAGACAGAAGTTGGCCCAAATCAAATTGAGAGGTGAGACAAGTTGCCTCTGTACCAATGAGATTGTTATGGGTCCCATAAGATCTTTAAGTGAACCCTTCTTAAAACGCTTTTATACTTTGTGTATTAATTAGTTATAATCCGGTTTGACTCCGGTTATATCTTGCAAATATAGAGCTGGTTAATTAATGGTTAATTGGTTACGAACTATCATTTTTGGTAGATAAAGGTTTGTCATCTATGCTTTGGCATTGTGTTGTCAATTTAGGCATCAAGGCAAAGAACAAAGAAAAAAAGCAAAAGTATTGTTTCCCCCAAGTTGTTCACAAATACTGTAATATGTTTTCTACGTGGAAGAAAGATTTTTCAAGATTCAAATGTATTTATTACAGTAGTTATTGTTTGTCAATATAGTCACTCAGGTTAATTCAAATATTCCAAGCATGAACATTGGAAAATTTGAAGATACAGTACATAAGTATTCATCAAAATTTTAAGTACATCAATTCAGAGACAACACTATTGTTTTATTTGAAGAAATCGGCAACAATGTTGTTGGATATACTTCACTTGCTTTACAATGTTCACATTTTTAACCCAAACAACTTATATATCAACATATTTTGGTTGTTTTTGTATTGTCCATAGAGAAAAAAAAGAGTTTAAAATACATGAATTATGACTATAAATCTGGATTAATTAAAAAAAAAAAACTATATTGAATGAATTAATATGTTTTTGAATGTTGCAGTGATTCTAAACTAGATCCGATTTGATACACCATTTTTCCAACTAATTGAGCCAACTGTACATAAGATATATTAGATGAATAATATCATTCATCAATAGATATAGTTGGTTATTCTTGTTGTTCTCATTAATATGGTCTTGAATATGACAAATCACATTATAATGTGTTTAATGTTTTCCCTAATAACACTAACAATAATAGTGTTAGGTGGTAGTACCTGGTTGGTGAAATGCTCATAGTGAAATTGGGTCAATATAAAGATAACACTTATTACTACTGGTCTCGCCAGCCTAATTGGTTCTCATTCTTGTCTTCACAAACATATAGACCCTTCTCACGTTTGATGAATAGACACTTATAACTACTGATTTCGCCAGCTTGGTTCTCATTCTTGTCTTCACAAACATATAGACCCTCCTCAAGCTTGATGAATAGACCTTTTTCGAAAAATAAAGTTGATAATCTTTGATCAAAAGCATATAAAATTTGGCCTTCGACTCTAAAAAAAGTAAGTTTACACCAGTCAAGTAAAAACCGCGATCAAACTCATTCTAGAAAAAGTGGTTTGAGGCCCAAATGAGGCCCATAATGTGAACAAACCTTAGTCAAAAACGGCAGGGAGTGCGGTCAAATGTTTTGAAAACGACAAAGAGTGTTAGTGGGTGTTTTGTCTGGTTGATTTATCAGCGGCAACGAATCGTCTTCCGAAGATATTTCTTTCTTTTTTTGGATTTCTCCATGCAAGCAAAAGCCCTAAGAAAAGAACACCAACCATTCGCAATCGTGCGACGTGAACATTCCGGCATAACGGAAGAATTCGATTGCTGAAGGATTATTGAAATTGAAAGTTATAGTGATTGAGTTTTGGTTTTCCTGATGGTGGAAGAAGCAAAATTGGATTCAAAATCGAAATCGATTCCGAATGAGAATTTGAGATTCGGAGAAAGGGCTTTGTCTGCCGGCGGCGCCGCTTTTTTATCGGCGGTCATAGTTAATCCCCTCGATGTTGTTAAGGTTCGAAAGTAAACAAATTTCCACACTTTTGGCTTTGGAAATCGTCTGCGAAAATCTGATTGAGCTTCTTGTGTGTGTGTTTTTGTGATAAGCAGACGAGATTACAAGCACAGGCTGCAGGAGTTCCGTATCAAGGCTCGTGTCGTCTTGGTTGTTTCGATACGAATTCCAAGGTATTTTTGCTAGCTGATTCGTATTATGATAATAAGCTAGTCCTCTAAATTGGATTCTGGATTGCCAAAGGATTGATTTTTATCTTCTGGTTATTGCAGCAGGTGGTACATGGTTTGAGAAGTAATTCTGCTCCAGGGATGTGTAGAATTACTGGCTCTGCATCTGTATGCTCAGATAATCAGTACAAGGGAACTCTTGATGTCTTCTACAAAATTATCCGCCAGGTTAGACCAGTTGTGTTGTGTGATTATTGTTGGATATTGAGATTAAGAGTTGCAGTGTCTATATGTATCTAGAGATATGTGTGATTTTCTTATGTTCTTTCTTTGAGAACTTTCATCTTACGGGCCTCTGGTATCAGGTCTTTGTGATGCAATTTGTCTTTTGAAATTTTGGCATCGTCTAGTAATTGTTTTATTTCTAGTTCATTATTTACTCATTTGTAGAGTTTCACAGGAACAACTTTATGCAGGAAGGGTTTTCTAGGCTTTGGAGAGGTACAAACGCAAGTTTAGCTTTGGCCGTTCCGACTGTGAGTTCTCTTAAGTAATGCTGTTTGCTTCTGCAACTTTCTTGTTCATTGGGTCTTCATGACTTATTACTACTTCTTTATATATGTTGCTAGGTTGGGATCTACATGCCTTGTTATGATTATTTTCGCAACATAATGGAGGAGTTCACGACAGAGAAGTCCCCAACTTTGACGATTTATGTCCCTCTAGTTGCCGGGACATTAGCCCGCTCCTTGGCTTGTATCTCTTGTTACCCTGTTGAGTTAGCCAGGACACGGATGCAGGTAACTCTTTAAGGATTTGATCCCTTGTTATTGCCCATTAACACTATAGTTAGTAGTCTTGAGCCCTATCCGGTTGAATGAACAAAAAAAAGTAAAAGTAGATGTAATGGTGGGGAGGAGCTATAGTCAAAGAACCAATGGATATCGATTCTTTTGTTTTACAAACAGGCCTTTAAGGGAACGCAGAGAGATGTGAAACTGCCTGGCGTTTGGAAGACATTGGTTGACGTCGTCAATCCAGTCAAGGGATCAAATAATGGCTACAGGATGTTATGGACTGGTCTTGGTGCTCAACTTGCTAGGGATGTTCCATTCTCTGCAATCTGCTGGTCGATACTTGAGCCTGTGAGTAATCTGTCACTGAAAAAACACATCCAATGTGTCTTCCATCCATGTCCTCACTATTGTTTCATTGTGACTTTAGACCCGGAGAAGCATTCACGCGGCCATGGGTGAAGAACCAGGGGCAGGCAGTATAATAGGTGCGAACTTCACTGCTGGTTTTGTTGCGGGTGCAGTTGCTGCTGCAGCTACTTGCCCACTAGATGTTGCAAAGACTAGGCGTCAAATAGAGGTAAACATACCTTCGCTTTATCTTTCATAATTCCACTGTGTTGCTCTACCAATTAGAATTCATCACCAGCTTCTAGACAGCTGCATTAAGTAAAGTTTGAGATCTTAAAAGCAAGTAACAACATTTAAACTTGTTTGGATTTTGCAGAAGAATACAGATAGAGCCATGACAATGACCACTAGACAAACCTTAGCAGAGATTTGGAGGTATGAGTTAGAGATCCATAAGACAAATTACGTTTTTGATAAACACTGGAAAGTTCAAAACTGAACGATCCCTGTCGGGTTTTTGTATAGGGACGGAGGAATAAGAGGGATGTTTAGTGGAGCAGGGGCTCGGGTGGGACGAGCAGGACCATCTGTAGCCATTGTGGTATCCTTTTACGAAGTGGTCAAGTATGGACTGCACAAGTTTCACCAACAGTAAGTCAGTAACACTTATAGTTACTGTAGACAGATTTTGTTTTGATGCGAAGCTAAAAAGAACCCTTCCGCGTCTAACTCAATAAAGAGGTTGTTGCCGTATGAGGTGCTTACTACACCTTAACAAGGCAAAACGTGAAATTTATTCTTTTTTTTTGGGGTCAAGAAGGAATATTATTTATTCAAGTTGTTTTTCGTTTTAATATTTTTTTTGTAAGAAGAAAGTAAAGTTATTTTTTTAACACGAGATTCTTATGGCAGAAAATGAACTTGATGTTGATCAAGGGTGTGTAGCAAAGTCATTTCTCAATAAATAACATGGCATATATAATAATTCCGTGATTTTCCATGAGAAATTATAATCTGAAGATGGACTTTGAGAATCGAATCCAAAAAGCATTGAACTCAACGGGTGCAAATTTTCTGGCTTTTAATATCTTGCGTTTGGATTTTTTTCGTGAGGCCAATAAACCGGATTTGCTTCTTCTTCTTTTGTTTATATCTCTATATAAAGAGTTGGTAATTGTCAAATTTCTGGTAATTTAAGCTAAATGACCATAACACAAATACTATAATGAAGAAGAATAAATTAATATGGAAGGGAATAAACAGATAGAGTGATGGGGAAACAAACAATAGAGACTATCATCAATCTCCAGAAATCATAATCGAGACTCTGAAAATTTTATCCACAAGAAAAAAGGCAAATTGAAACTAAGAACAAGTTGCAAAAAAAAAAAAAAACTGATGAAAGAAAGAAAGAGAGATTAGAAGAAGGAGTAGGAAGAAGAAGCATCAAGAGGATGAATTAGGTAAGTCAGCACTAACGCCACCACCATTAGCAAGTACGCTATCCCTTGATCTATCGATGTTCCTGCCAACCAAATTCAATGTCAATTCGACTGTAAGAGAGATAAACCAAATCGATTTCTTTTTTTTTTCTGTTTCCAGATTTCACGATTCAGATCTGGAAATGCGAATATCGTGGAAGAGAGAGAGAGGTAGATGCTTACCATCGCTGGTGGGAGCAGGAGCTGGAGCTAGGGATTGAGCGCCGGCGAGAGACAAGATGACGGCGAATACAAAACTGAACAACGCGAATCCGGTGACGGAGTTTCTCGACGCCATCTCTCTATCCGCTGGTGATTGATCCGAAGAGAATGATGATGCTCGAGAGAAAAATCGAGAGCTCTGCAGGTGAAAAACTCCGGCGAGAGAGTGATTCTGCAGAGACGACGGAGGAGGGATAAACGGTTTGAGAAATGAATGAAGCAAGTGTAGAGAGACGACTTGTTTAAGGTGGTTCTTATAGTAAGAACACCGGTTAAAGGGTTACCGGTTATAACCGGTTATTTTATCCAGTCAAATTTATTTACTAGTCAAGCTAATAAAAAAAAGAGTTCAAGAAGCATGATTTTCTTCGAATTTTCTTTTTATTCTTTATTGACCCTCGATTGTTCTTTTTTCTTTTTCCTAGTTTTCTTGTCAAAATTGACATTTGAATGATCAAAGGTATAAATTGTTAGTGTAATAATTTTGACTAAAGTTTGTTGTATCTCTAATCAAATTTGATTTGTGAATTGTTGATAGGAAACTGTTCTTTCTTTTTTCTTTGTCAACGGATAGTAAAAGATAGAAACTTGATTACGTACCGATCTAAAAATTATAATCATAGAAGGAGTTTCAAATTTTTTATTATTGTACTAATAAACTAAAATTATTACAAAAATTGAATATTGTTAGCTTTAAATGGTAAAGATCATAAATTCAAAAATCGCAATAGAAAATTAAATAACATTATCCGGCCAAAATGAGGCTATGGATTTACTAATTGTTGAAAAAAACGAACTCAGTTAAATTGATGCCTATAAAAAGTTATTTACACTTTGAAACTAACGGGTGGCTTTAAACTAAACTAATACTGTAGTTTTCTAATATTTAAAAAAAAAAACAAGGAAAAAAGAAATAAAGCTTAAACCCAAAAAAACAAATATTCTTTAATTAAAACTGGCGGCTAGCTTAGGAAAACGTTACAGCGACGAAGAAGGCCATGTGATGTGATTATCTCCTTTTTTATAAGTTTTATAAAGTTTTCTTCTGATAGGCCTTTTTTTGTTAATTATGAGAAGAAGAAATAAAAATCTTTAGAGGTGGTGTAATGTATTGGTAGGGGCTGACAGACAGACTGGCAGCCAAACTGGACTTATTCGTCATATGTGACTCTCTCTCTCTCTCTCTCTCTCTATTATCCCTTCTTCTTCTTTTTTTTTACATTTTAAAGATATTCTCAATTATTTGTTTCTGCAATGTGTTTTTTTTTTTTTTTTTGTAGTTATTTAATTTAACGGCTATCAAAGTAGGTGTTAATCAGCGTGATTATCGGTTAATATGCCCACATTTTGATTTTTGAAATACTAAGATTTTCGTATCTCACATGTGGTGTCGTCAGAATAAAACAATATATCGTGATGGTGTTATTATATTACCTAACCTTTCTGTTTTGTTTAGGTAGAGTGTATTTACAATAAAAACTTTAAGGTAATTTGGTCAAAAATGCCACTTTGACAAAAATACTTATAAAAAATGCCATAAAAAAAAGTTTTTTTTGAAATTGCCACAATTTTGAATAATTGTGGTTTGAACTGACGAAATTACCTTTATGCTAAATAAGTGGGAAAATGATAGACAAAAACTGTTATCCAAAAATTGTTGTCTACTAAACAAATTGGTAACTGACGAAATTACCCTTATGCTAAACAAGTGGGAAAATAATAGACAAAAACTGTTATCCAAAAATTGTTGTCTACTAAACAAATTGGTAGACAAGATTTCGAATCAACAGATTTCGAAAAAAAGTTGACGAACAAGAATTGTTGTCCACGTTTAATGCTACATATTTCACAAAAAGTTGGTAGACAAGAATATTCAAGTTCGTGTCCACATTGAAACATTGAAATCAACATATTTCAAAACCATATATCCATAAAAAAATTCATTTAATCAACATATTTTTTTAAGAAATTGAGTCATTGAACTTACAAGATAACAAATGTTGTCGAAAATTCCTGAAAAAATATTGTCTACAATAGTTTGTATACCTAAATTAATTTAACAAATTAGACATAAAATTAAAGTTGTCCACTGAATGTTACAATTGTCTGTCAATGCTTAAAATTGTCTACAAAATTAAAATATGATCTGTTTTCAATGAATCTATCGAGACTCGAGACGATTAGCATAATGGTGAATTGTTTATTCTCAGCGAGATTCTTGACGGTGGTGGTGTGTGAAGGGCGATTGGATCTATGTGAAAATGTGGATTTCGAATTCAAGATCTAGATCTTTCTCAAAATTGAGAAAAAAGAGTGAGAATTGCTTTGCTTTTTTTTTCATTGCTTTGTGAGAAGAGGCTTTGAATCAGTGAAAAGATTGATAAAGCTGAAGAGAGTGATTAGATTCGAGAAAGTAAAGTCATTGTTGTTATAAATGTTGAAGAAGACAAAAACTGTGAAATGAAGAAGATGAAGATTGAAGAATTTTTGAAGAAATGAGAGAGAATTGGTTGAGGTGTAAATTGGTCATTTTAAATTAGAGTATGGCAATCTTAGAAAAACATAAACATTTATGGCAATTTTGCTAAGTTTTTGAACATTATATGGCACATTTCATAAATTTCTCAAACTTTAACGTCGGTTTAGTTTGACACTAGTAAATAATGCTTTTTGATGGTTTTTACCGTTCTATTCCATATCTATATTTTAAAAAAAAAAATTTAAAATATATGAGTGTGCTTGACTCCTATTTTAATTTCGAGTACCTCGGTTGTTGAATGTACGACAATATGAATTATTTGTGGTATAGACGTATAGTTATTATATTTGTTATTTAATGATTGATGTAAATATGTAATCTTTTACTCCCTCTGTTCCTGAAAATTTGATGTTTTAAAGTTTACACATATATTAAGAAACAATTATGATTTACTCATTTAATAATTTTTTTTTATTAAATATTTTTAATAATGTATGAACCAATAGTAATCTAAAACAGTTAATTATTTGTAATCATTACGCCTTGAAGTCTATGATTTGTTAATATCAATTAATAAAAAATAAAATAAAAAACTAGAAAATCAATCTTTGTGGAACAAACCTAAAACACTAGAACATAAAACTTTCAGGAACGGAGAGAGTATTAGGTAGCTAATTCACAAACTAGTGAGAGGAATTAGCCGTTGGATCAGTTACATCAATCATTTTATGTTTCAAAATATAATAATGATCTTTTAACATTAGAGGAACGTGCATGTTGCAGTTGGAAATAATGTAGGGTCATCTTTTCAAATTGTAGAACGTTATAAAATTTTACTTTTCAAGGGTCGCTAGATACTAATGTTTCAGAACGAATGTAAATCCAAAAGGAAAAATACACATATATGTGTCACATGTGTGCGGCCAAAATAGTTCACTGACCCTTGGTCTCTCATATCTTCAATCATGTTTCTTTTCCTGATAAACATATCTTCAATTATGTTACTCGACTGGTGGTGTTTTCAAGGGTGACAAAATATATATTTACGTATTAATTTCTTAGAATGATATTCGTTATCCTATAAATTTAAGTTACTATTTCTCCTTACGTAAAAAAAAGTTATTAAAAGTATATAAATAATCAATACTAGATGGTAATAACAATAAATTTTTTTAGCAAAAAAAAAGGAATAACAATAAATTTTGTATATGACGACTATAAATATAAGCACAATTAAAAAATCTTGGTATAATACTCAAAAGAAAAAAAAATAGAGATGAGCACAAAGAGCCTAAAATAGAGGGACAATGAAAAGGATAAAGTAATGGGATTGTTTGAAGCAACCATGTGCCCTGTGAACCCAACTTGCCTCTTTTGGTTCCATTGTCAACTACTGATCAAAGTTACCAATATTTCATAGGAATTGGAATAATTAAATCATCTTTAGCATTTTACAAAATGATAATATATATCAGAAAATGTTATTATTTGCATGGCATAACAAAGATGATAGAACTACTAGTATTATTTTGTGGCATTAACAAATGGGCCGAAAATTGATAGTCACTGATGATTTAATATGTAGATCCATTTTCCATTGAAGAAGCAAGTTTTCGGTTTTTGTTTGTCTGGACGTTAGAATTGAAATATTCAAAATACACTTACCTGGCAGATGTGAAAGATGATGACTTGCAAGAGATAGCATAGCACCAAAATCTTCAAGATTTTGCTTCGAAGGAAGGATAATGTTTTGATTTTTAAACATCTTTTTTTTCAAAACGCAAGAGGAGGGAGCTAGTGAATTGGATTATTATTTTTAATTTTTAGGTCACATGGATGTTGAAGTACTTAAGTAAAACAGAACAATGAAACAAGAGACAAAGAGAGTCTCTCACATTGTCAGAGGGTTCAAATCCAAAGAGAAATGTTGGCGCTACCAAGCAAATCAATTAAATCTTTCTCATTTTACTACACTTAATCATACAATGTACATTACATGTTGGACATAGATACAAAGAACATGTCGAATTCATGATTTCGAGATTTATAGAAATATATAATAGGAAAAAAATAACCCATGTGCCCTTCATCAACGACATATACTTGTGCTCAAAGAGAAATATCGTATGTGCAATTGCTTATGAAGTTCTTCTAAAACAAGACTGAATCTAAAACCATAAATTGTGAAATTCGCAGACGAGAGCCATACGATGAAGTGAATGGATGATATATCTTTTCTCTCTATTTATCTCTTAACAGAGAATCTCCAACAACAATTACATAATTGAGCTAATGATATAACACACTTGTACAAGTTATATACCTCTCATCATTACACATTATGCCGACCAAATCTGAATCACTTCTGAAGAATCTGAGAAGTTATCTCAAATTATATCTCATATATATAGAATTACAGGAAGAAGAATCAAATAATATTACCACAGACAGTTTTGCTTCTTCAACTTCTCCAAGATTTCGATTTTTTTTTCTGTTCTGGTCATATAGGATCTAATTTCCAGGACAAAAACGTTGCTTCAAAGTCAAACTGGTTTGTCCTAGATTCAGACTCAAGAGATGAGGTTTTGAGATTTTTCCAAAGAACTTACTCAAAGAGTCCAATGCCCGTAGTAGTGAAAACGCCAAGTTGTCAAACAAGTTTTAGTAGCTTCATGTTTCCAGTAGAGTTTGCAGCTACAAGCATATTCGATTTTTTCCTCCAACAGACGCTCGACACAAACTGTCCATTGTCATCAAAGTATTCGTTTCCAGAAATGGGATCGACGGATCCAAACTTGTATGAAGTCATTGGCATCGGTAAGGATTTATAGTAACTATATACCTAAGATGCAAAATCAAAGTATTATAACTAACTGTAACATTAATATCATCATCAAGATGAATGGTAACAATTTAAGGCAGCTTCATAAACAAACTTAACGCAATTGACATATACCCATGAGAATCTAGAATTATGTATTCTAAAGGTTGATATTTTTTTGTTATAATGATGTGATAAGTATACCTCATTGGTCTCTGAACCACAAGCTATGTACCCGTCCAAAACCGACAATCCGACAAAATTCTGCACAGGTAAAGGATTATACATCAGAACTAACTAATGATGTTGGATGAGAAATTAAAGGTAGATAGAAAAGTTTTTAGGACTAACCTTCTGATTTGTATGTCCTTTATATGTCAATGAACAAGCACCAGGAGATAAACCAGAGGAATTTGTCTTGTTAAGATTCCAAAGCTTGAGAGAGTTATCAGTGGAAGCAGAAACAATGGTTTCTGAATCCATAAATTTAACATAACTCACCGCTTTCTCATGACCAGCCAATGTGCACCAAGGTGTTTTGACATACCGAAGATCATAGCAATAGACCTTGTAATCAGCTGACCCAAATGCCAATAAGTGATTGGAATAAGAAGAGAATTGCACGCAACACACATTTGCTGGACTCCAGATTGTGCCTAATGAACGTTTCTGCATAGCCAACAGAGAAGAAAATAAGTTTCACTACATGTGGATATTCATAAGTCTAAACAGAGAATCATGCTTTCTGGAGCTATACTGATTTGGAGTATTAAAAACAACAGATACATCAAACTTCTTGCAATATTAGGAGTTAAGAGAAAGAGCAGCACCTCATTGATGCTCCAAAGCTTCACCGAGCAGTCATCACTTCCACTGACAAATTTTGTCGGGTCAGATGGAGAAAAATCAACTGACCATGCTCTCTTTTGGTGTTCGGTGTACTGCGAAAATCCTTGTCCAGTCCCGGCATCCCAAATCTGCATTCACCAGCACCATAAAGTAAGAAAATGGCAAGTGAAAACCATGAAATATATGGCTCTATATCTCTATCCTGTCACAATATTAACATGTACACATCTCATGAGGCTGGTCCTATAGAGCCAAATGTGCAACAAATGATGGTAAATAAGAAAGATTCCAAACTTGACATAGATAGGTGAAACTTTTATACGCACCTGAACTACACCATCGTAGTCAGTCGAGGCCAAGTAGTTTTTGATGTAGCTATTCCAGCAAACACAGCTTAATTTAGATTTGTTGACCATCTCTACTAGTGGATAATGAACACCGACAGATTCATTCATAAATGCATTGAAGTCAAAAATCTTGATCTTCTTTGATATCCCAGCTGCTGCTATATGTTCCTCATCAGGGTCAAAACTCAATGAGCAGACCACACTTGCAGAGTTTAAAAGGTCCCCACTTCTTATTGTCCCACAGGTTTCGAACTTGCTATACCGAGCAAATTTGCACAACCCCTCGAAAAACACTTCCAGTTGATCTGAAGATTTTCCTTTGGTACTCATATCCTGATTTTCATTTTGGTTTTCAGAGCATCTGTCCCTGTCCTTTAGTACGATTTTTTCAGAACGGGTACTAGCAGCAGAACTCGACAAGTTGATTTGTGATCGCATGAAGAAATATGCATCTTCAAGTTGACGGATATTACTCATCAGCCTGTCTGTATTAGTACTTGGTACAAGCAAGACGCCAGAAGTTGTACAGTGCTCATCTAGGGGAGATGATTGCACCCTTCTTTCAATAGCTCCATGAGATCTCACCAGAGATACATTTGAAGAATATCTTCGCTCGGCCTCCTTGATATCATCCTCTAAGGTCTGGATATCTTGCAAAAGCTTAGATGCTTTTTTCTGCTTCTGCACTTCTAGAGTAGACAAAAAATGAAGTAAGAGCTCAGATATCTCCTCAGCAGCAGCAGTCGATTTAACTGAATCATCCTCACATATCAACTCTGACTTCAGTATATCTCTGTCACAGAAAGAGAAGAGACTGAGAACAGAAAAAGAAACAAGAAGATAATTCACACAGTGGCATGCCATTTTTTCTTCCCAATTACGAGGGAAAACATTAAATAAAATTGAAGGTATCCGGCAAAGAAATCTTAAAAACGACTATTTTAGCTAATGGAAGGTCTACACATTCTCCTTTGTACCACTCCTAGACTCCTAGTAAATATTCCCCTACATGATACATAAAAGAGTAGCACTCAGCTAACTACCTAGCTGTTGGTCGGGACGAGGGTTCAGGATGTAGAAGCCAAAGACAAAATCCAGCTTCCTTTGGGTATTTTGAGAGAAATGTTGGTGGGAGAATCCGATGGCGTAAATCTGCCATCATTGCAGCATGCATTTCACCGGACTCGCAATGGCATAGCAACTGAAACAACCAATGGTCAAGCTAGAGATGTCAGTAGGCGTCTTCACATGAAAGGATCAAACATGTAAACAAAAAAAAACTGACAAGTTAGATACTGCAGACTGGAAAATACTAGCTCTGGGGTTCAAAGTTCAAACTAGACTAAGAAATTTCACGAAAACGAAAGAAATGGAAACTACCCAAAGCCTGACAATCTAGTACACAGACAGAAAAATAAAAGAAAGAAGACCACATAAGCAGGATATGACACTACATAGTGTTTAAATGCAATGAAATGTTACAACCTTCGTGGTATTAAAGCAAACTAAAAATCTTATCACAACAATAAAACTGAGTATTTGTCCATACCTCAAACAGAAGAACACCAAGGGCATAAATATTTGATTTATCTCCGATATCTTCTCCATTAATCTCCTCTGGACAAGTATACCATTGCTCTTCTAGCCATGTGGACATAGACTGTTTTTTCGTCATTGAAGACACGCTTAAATTTTTGATATAGTCTTGCTGTTGAAGCTCGCAACTGTCTGGATTACGTGCATCAACAACATTTAAATCAATCACAGGGCTTTTCCTTTTGAAAGGTCTCCCGGTGGAAGTGGCCTGAAGTTGACTCCCTGGAGAATGCACATGCAAGTCCATTTTTCTTTTCTTTGAATCCCTACCTCCAATAGATGATTCCTGAACAACAGGCCTCCTCCTATTCAAATCTTCGTCAACACCTGAGTCTAGATCGTTCTTTCCAAAAGTACCAATATATCTAAGTTTCTTCGATGGAACTAAAGTGAAAAGGGATGGTCTCAAGTCTAGCAAGAATAATCCTTTTGAATGGGCTGAGTCAACCAGCTCCACCAGCTGCCTAAATAGACAAAGGCCATGTCTTTTCTCTCGTTTAGCATAACTTGATCTAAGAAACTCCCTCAAACTGATTCCAAAAGAAGATTTAGTATGATTTCCATCACCATGTGATACCATCCCATTTCCTTTGGGACTTGATTTTAGGGGTAACACATGGTGAGGAGTAGGCGACTTGCTACTATCCAACTGTTTTTCCTTGCTTCCTAAATCTTGGTCAGAGAAAAATTCAGGAGGAGACTCCTGGTTCTTTCCTACTACGCCTTTCCCCTTCATAGCTCTTTTAAGTAACAACTGAGAAAAATTGACAGGCGCGTTCAATTGGACACCTTCACTACTGATCAATGAAGGAGCTTTGATAATACTGTTCTCACCAGCTGCTCGTAGACGTTCAGAAAAAGCTTCAAGATTGTGATCGCTCCTCCTAGTCATAAAAGGTTTCAGGTTTTGCCTTTCGGAAGGAGCTCCAGCAAGCTGTTGTCTAATTCGTGACAACATTTGATCCATGTCACGAGGTTGAGAATCAAGATCCCCATCTCCTGGCCTTAGAGAAGACCCTCTAGCAAGACGATAAAGATGCTCAAACTTCCCAGCCCTAGAACTATCCATATTAGTATTATTAGTCCCTTGAACAATCCTATAGTTCCCCAATGTCAACTCTTCAACAGAAAGCTTAGCTCCAGCAGAATCCTCCGGAGGCGGCGGCTTAGTCATCTCAAGAGTCCTGTGAGCTGAGCTTCCAGGACAGTCACTGTTTCTAGTTTCTGATTGAATCACCATATTACTATGAAGAGCATCAAGCTTACAAGGAACATCATCCACTCGTCCTTTCAATTGTATGTTGTTGTTACTCGCCACAGTTTCTTCAGCTACTCTTTCCATAACAGGCATCCACATTCATTGCCACATGGAATGATAACAATCTACAGCCTCCATACCTTATACAAAAAACAAATCGAATCTCATCAGAATCAAGCCAACAAAAAGAAGAAGAAGAAGAAGCCCTACCTACTAAATTCATGCATGTTCAGATTCTAAAAACACACACAATAAATCACTAATCCCGAAACGTATCATCAGCTGTAATCTTAAGCAGCTAATCAGACGATTATATATGTAAAATTGCAGCAAACTAAAACCAATAATAAAAATTACGAGAAATACACAAAAATCTAAATCGCTTACCTCGAAGATCGAGAGATCATACACCGAAGCGGTGAATCCAAACGGTTCCAAGAAGAAGAAACCTCTTGAAGAAAGCAAATTCAAAAAGAAGAAGAAGAAAGGTGAGGCTATAAATTTGTCATATATTGATGATAATAATTACGAAAAACATAATGAATCTCTCTCTCTCTCTAGTCACACAAATATGAATCTCTCTTTCTCTAGACTCGCATCATTCCTTCTTCGTTCCTTTATTTTCTGATTTTTTTATTTTTAAAACTGTTATTTTATTGATTAATTTAGGCTTCAAGCCACATATCAAAATCATATGCTTTTCTTTTATTCTGGCGGACAATTTTTTGAACATTATTTTATTTAATTTTTTTATTACTTACAACAAAAAAAAAAAGAAAAAAAATGAGAAAGAAGATCTTTTTTTTTTCTTCTTCTGGCTGCCCAATTATTATCTTTGTTTTGATCAAAAAAGAAGAGGTCAAAAAAAGATTATGACACGAGATTACGTCGATAATCTTCTGATTAGTGACATCAGCTAAAGAGATGGTCCTGTTTTCGGTCTTATTTACGGAAAATACCACTCATGGTTTTCCTCTTTGGTTAAGCACTGTGTGTGAGTGTAGGGGCAGGATGGTAAATAAATAGGAAAGGGGTGGGCATTAAGAATGTTGCATGGGGATATTTGTTAAGAGGAGGAGATTAAAACACGTCGACGTCGCTTAATCTATTCGCGATTCGAGGGGGGTTCACGTGAAAGATGTGGAGATTATTAAGCCACGCTTTTACGAATAAACTAATATATTCCCACCTTTAACAACAGTTATTGGACTCAGCCCATTTTGAAAACTTTATGGGCTGCTTCGCTTATAACTTCGAAAAACAAACACAATTGTTGTTTTCCATAAACCCATTAGTTAAAGCATTTATTTTAGGATGTCAAAAAAAAAAAGAAACAACATTAGCAATTGACCAATTTATCAATGGTTAAACATTTCAATTATCTTATTTTCACAGAAGAAAGAAAAAAATTGTTTATAAAAAAAAAATGGTCGGTCTAGTGATTAGTGAATTTAGAATCTTATTTCTCTACCACCAAGTCTTTAAGATGGAAACATTACCACTCAAAAAATTGCAAATTGAATTAGTTAGTTATTAAACGAAGTTTACTATGAATGGCCATAAGAAAAGAAAAAAAGAGAAATTTTGTCCAAAGGACGGCTAATTTTGGGACTAAAAGTTCCCAATAATTGTATCTTTTTTGTGTCTTCTTTTCGGTTTATGGATTCGTCTCGCGGAGCTAACCGCAAACACGATGAGGAAGAGAGAAGAGAAGACGAGAAAACTTCTCTGATGGATGTAAATCTCATGGTGGTACTTCTCTCTCAGCTTTGTACGAAGAAGGAAGATGAGAAGAGTTTAGAGAAAGTGAGAAGAGATCATGTTGCACACGAGGCTCGTGAATCTAGAGCACGTGCAAACAAGAGGTTTATGAAGGAGACAACATTGATGGAGAAAAGGACTCACGTGCTTCAGCCCATGGCTAAAGAATTCAGGTAAAAACAAATAAAAACTTGTTTGGATTCTTGCTTTGTAGCTGCTCATGTTCTTGTTTATGACTATAATGCGCAGGCATTACAGGAAAATGTGAAGGCGCATGACTGACCTGTGTTGCCCCAGAAGCTGAATACAATTCTATTTTATTTTTTTATTGATCATTATATAAATGAAAAGAAAATGAAGAGATTTTTTTGGCCTATTTAATTGTAAGCAAGTATGATCACTTTAATTAATTTGCAACCAAGATGTTTCCAATCTTGTATCACTATAGAAGAGATGCAAATTCAATGTTTTAACCTAACCAGCAAAATTTTGTATTATTTCTCTGCTCTAATTCTCATTTGTTTGCTTAGTTAAATTTGTGTGATATATCAGATATAAACGTATCATCAATCTTATCGTGTTATGATCATTTTTCTTAAATAATGAACCAAATTAAAAGCAGCATTGACACGACCCTTCTCAACATAAACATGAAAATCCTCATCTCTCTATTCGGATTCGTAAAATATTATTATGAGACATAGGAATAATAATATGTAACATGATTACCAGCTAGCTAACCTCTACCTAATCTCTCCCTTAATCGACCATTATTAAATAACTAGTTGACATCCACAACCTAATCCACTGTCCCTTTAACTTTGTTTTGTTTTGTATTCTCACAACATGTGAACTTGGAAATAAAACCCAAACTGATCACCAGCATAGTCTTTAAAATTAAAAATTTTCGTATAATAATTTGATTTGGTCGGTCCAATATTCCATAGTATACCCTGAATTGAAAATACATAATACAATGATTTATCATATTTATATACAACACGTTTAAATGTAATGGTAGAGTATTTGGAAGATGTGCTGTTATGAAAATTTTAATTAGTTGAGATCAAAGTGTTAAATCTTTTAAAAAGTTTCGGCTAGCCGTCGAAGGGAAAAATGTTCACACGAGAGGGCTTTGGTCTTCATTGAGAAGATGATGACTTGAAAACAAACAAAAAAGTGATTAAAAGGAATGATAAAAAACAAGTGGCCGGAAACGGAATTGGGTAATCAGCGGGTACTAATGAGGGGTCGTTTTCGCAAAACCCATTTTTGGTCACGGTCTCCACTTTTTTTTTTTTTTTTTTGTCATCTAGATTTTATTAATGAAACTACGAAGAATACTTAGAGAAATACAAACTTAAACCGGCGAAAAACAAGATATCCTCGGAATATAAAGCCCTATGTAAGAGAAGCAAACGACTGATGCTACAAGGCTACAAACATATAATAATAGAAGACGAACCCCACTACAAGAACAGACCAAGAGAAATACTCGACAAAATGGGATCATAACCAACCCAACAAGGAATGCATACTTCAAGAAATCTTTTGATAGTACATGTAATTTAATTTATTTTCATCGATTTAATTATTATCTTTCGTGTTTTTTTTTTTTGTTATTATCTTCTGTATACATGTACATTGTGATTATATATACCAACAATAAATCGCCAAAAAACAATATGATAAAGTTAAAATGTGTCTTTCATAAAATGATGATACCGAAATAATTTTAAATATATAGAGATAACATGTGTATAGCTAGTTTTTACATTCTAAACTAATAAAAAATGAGCTCCATGTTATTAAACGGATTTCTTATATTTTCACAGTCTATGTTTAATACAACGATGAGTTACACAATTATTTTCGCATGAATAAATTAAAGGTGATAAGTGATAGCCACTAGAATATGGTCGACTGATATAAAAATGTCAAATAGGCAGGGCTAAGGTTCAATCATTGATCATTTGATACGTACGTGAATCTTCATTAGCTATTTAATCACGGGTATATATGTGTACTTTATTATTCATTAAACTTTTCCTTACAACCCTTTACCCTTTTACTCAATTATTTGATTGGTTGATTGAATGCAAACAGCAACCATTATTCTAGTGAAGACAACCCTTTTTGTGACAATTTGACGAGGTAAAAGAAATGGTTAAAACGTCATAAAAGCAAAGCCATGGATTTATTTAGAGGTACATATAAATAATAAATTAATGACAAATATTGTACGTTTTTGTTATATTTCAACAAGACTATCGCATGAAAACGATCGCTCACATGGTTAGTGGTATATTTGATTTTTCTCTCACGTATACATAATCTGAAAATTTCAGTATAATAATAATAGATATCAATAACAATATGAACGTTAAAAAATCTCATTACACGAAGTTACAAGCAAACTTGATATTACGTACAGATCTGACCTAGACTATTTTGTTTATGATTGGAGTTATTTATAGTAATGAGGATGAAAATATCTGAAATGGTTATATACATAAATATTTGTCAATGCATTATGCAGGTTTGATTTTGGATGGTGCATATATGACACATCAATATCATTAGCACAAGCAATTAGATTACATGGTTGGTCTACAAACAATTATATATAAATATATAGATGGTTTTATTAAAAACCCAAAATGTTTGTTGGAGTAAATTGACTGATCATTTGATAGGAAACGATTATTATAGCTGTCACAATCAATATAAATAAGTAAGTTATCAATATTTTAGTGGAAATGTTTGATATATAATGTGTGATTCCATTGGCTAATTGTGAAGCTAAACAACATACTATAAATAAGACGTCTAAGAATCGAGACAACATAATATAACATCCATGGGACCACTATGGTAAAACATATTCGATGAACTAATGAACAAATGTATAGAGACATCAATATATGTAATATGTATAATTATTAAACTAAATAACTATATATGCTTATTGCAGAAATTGTGTGTCGTTTACTTTTTCGTCTTATCATGATCACTTGTAACAAGTTGTACGTTTGCCTGTATGGAACGCGAGGATGCTTACGTATTCATACAACTCAAAAGCTAAACACTGTTTAGTTATTTAGTCACCTTTTTTTTTGTCCGTAAACACTTTATAACTAATATACAATTAATCTTGTACATAAGTTCTAAGTTATGGTTGACGTGATAGGTAAATGTTGTCAAACTAATCTTAAGTAATTAAACAATATTCTTAGGTAATTAATGCGTCGCTGATGTAATATATGTTGTGATCTATTAATGGACCTGACTCTAATTTTAAATTTTAGGAAATGGCCAAGTTGACCCACTAAAAAATCAGGCAAGTTTCGTAATTTCATGAAACATTTGGGGCGAAAATAAGGAAAACGTAAAGAATGTGACCGACAAATTATTTAGAGCCTAGACGAAATCGAATTGGACGGCACTGCCACGCGTAGGCACGAAACGCACTTGGGTCGTAGTACATGCGGATCCAGAGCATCTTTTATGTTTAGCCAGTTATACTCTTCCGCGTGTCAAATATTAAAATTAAAGCTAAAATTTATCATCACTATGATAAGCCAATTAGAACATCGGTGTGATTTTGTTTTCTTGACGTGTGTTTGATCCATTTAGCTTGTAACTTTATTGATAGACGGAGTATTAAATTAATTTCCACACACAATAGTTTTTCGTTTTCCAATTAGTATGAAAAATAACAAAAAATGGATTATATGTAACTAAGCAAATTAGGTCAAAAATAATAATATCAGCGGTCAATAATAATATGAGCATGGAGGAATATGTGATTTGTGTTGACTTGTCATTCATGTAGACAATTTATAGCTTATTCAGTCAACAAAAAAAAAAGAAAAGAAAATGTTAACATCTCTAAAATGACCTTTTCCACAGATTTCAATCAGTTCATGATTTTCTCGGTATAAAGTAGGCATGAAATTGACGAATGAAAATGTATGAATTGAAGAAAATAATGAAAAACAATAAATCATCTATACAAATCATTTATGTTTCTTACATAGTTTTTTTTCTTTAAAGAAATGAACTAGGTTTGGATTGTCAAAAAAAAAAAAATCAACTATGTTTTTTTTGTTTATACTAGCAGATCATTAGATTAATTATATGTTTTGTAACTTGATAATGTTTCTCAGCTTCATTAAAATGAGAGTTGTCAGCAAAAAAAAGGTTAGTTATGTGTTTCCGAAAAGAACCCTGCAATAGAAAGGGATTATTGGACTTTATTTGTTTTGTACACGAGAAGATGCAATGGAACTGATTTTAATAGAATTTGGTAGATATTACAAAAAAACTTATGAACCTCATACACTTTGAGAATCGTTTAAATGACTAATGTAAAGATGTGCAAGCAACTGATATGAATAATGTTAACCATATATATGTTGTGATATCTCTCATATTTGATATATAAATATGTTTGTTCCCATTTTTATCACAAACTACACAGAAACCACATATAAGAAACTATCAAATAGTATATCTTTAGCAAATCTGAATTAATCAAACGCTGGTCATTATAAATTAAATCATAACCGGTGGTATCGAAACAAAGTATATATAGGTCTTTTGTTGGAGATTAATATTGATTTTTTTTTAATTGATTTGTGATGTATTTTCTAGTATTACATCATTTATGCAATGACCATATGGACAACGATGAGAGAGAGGTGACTAAGTTAACATGCTTTAACATGATTTTTTTTTTTCCTCAAAAAAAAAAAAAAATTAATTATGAGACTAGGCATGAAAATTCTTAGTTAACAACAAAATGATGTTGTCTAGATATATTTGAATTAATATCATAAAACCAAAAACTCAAGAATTTAAGAAATAGTTTTCCCAAGACAAAGTTGGCTTTTCATAAACTACTTACGGTATCGTTTAATGTAAAATGAAGATAGTGTTAAACAAACACAAAAACATGTTAAAAAGTAATCCGCATGCGATTGTTTTGGTTCACTAACACACAAATGTTCGCATCCGAACAAAGCCTTAAAATCAACTAAAGTTTTGGCAGAGAGAACCAAGTTAAAAATGGCATTATCTAAGAATGGTCCTAATATCAATAAGATTATTACACACTTTTATTTTACCGATAGGACCCAAACTCATATGAAGATGAAACAAAACTAAGAATACACAAAAGTGGTCGGAGAAAGAAAATAAAACAAAAATCAGAGAGATCCCGTCGGCGAAAATTGTGAGTCAGAAAAAAAGAGAAAGAGAGAGAAGTAACGGCTTTCACTAATCTATCGCCTTCAACATTTTTGCTGCTTCTTTTTTTAATTAAATCTTTTTTTGTTGTGTCTATAAATTTCACAGCTTCTTCTCTTGACTTTCCAAATTCACTCAACTTTCTCTCTCACTCCTTAATCTTTTGCTCTCTGTCCTCCACCAATCTACAGAGCCTCGCAGCAACTACCAGCAGGTACTCTCCCTCTCTCTATCTTTCTCACTCCTTAATCTAGAAACTAAAGCTGATCGATCGTTTCGTCTGATCGGGAACAAAACACTTCTCTCATATCTCCGGTTCCGACCTCCGTTGACTTTTTATCTTCTTTCTCTCTCCTGACAGATTCCAAAAAAGTTTTCATCTTTACTTCTTCAATCTCATAGATTCCGATTTGTGTCTGATTGTTACCTCTTTAAAACTACTGGGTTCTTTGATTCTTGATTCTTCCTTCCTTAAATTTTCGATTCACTAGTTTCTCGGGAAAAATTACTAAGTAGGGTTTTGATTATTTCCTCCTTCAGTACGCGTCGATTCCGGAAAACCGTTTTTTTTTAAAAAATAAAATCTGCTAAAAGTTTTGCAGAAATCTTTCTGATAAGAATTTTATAAAACTTTCCCTTTATGGATGCTCTGAAACATAAAGAGCTTTTATAAGTTTATTTCTTTCCCTTATATATTCTCTGTCTGCAAATCTGTCAGAATATCTTCACTTTTTTGTTTTGCTAATTTAGGATGTTGGAGAAGGTTGAAACTTTCGACATGAACAGAGTAATTGATGAATTCGATGAAATGTCTAGAAACGCTGATCAAGTCCAGAAACAAACCTTGAAAGATATTCTTCTCAAGAACAAGTCCGCCATTTACTTACAAAACTGTGGGCTCAGTGGAAACGCAGCTGACCCTGAAGAAGCTTTCAAAGCTATGGTTCCATTAGTCACTGATGTTGAATTAGAGCCTTACATCAAAAGAATGGTTGATGGTGACACTTCACCTATTCTCACTGGTCACCCTGTTCCTGCCATTTCCTTAAGGTAACTTTATTTACTCTTTAAACATCTGTTTTTCCTTTATCATTGATGATTCTGTGATTAATGAATGAGTTTATCTTCAGCTCTGGAACTAGTCAAGGCCGTCCAAAGTTTATTCCTTTCACTGATGAATTAATGGAGAACACATTACAACTGTTTCGCACTGCTTTTGCCTTCAGAAACAGGTATAGTGAATTAGTTAGTGTTTATGTTCCCCCACACATTTCACGCTTTTCTCTGTTCCTCCACCCATTGACATGAACAGATGAACTAAGGGTGTTGTTACCACCGATTATGCCTTAACATGTGATGTTTTTCTTGTACAGAGATTTTCCCATTGATGACAATGGGAGAGCTTTGCAGTTTATCTTCGGCAGCAAGCAGTACATATCAACGGGAGGTGTCCCGGTTGGAACCGCAACCACAAACGTCTACCGCAACCCTAACTTCAAAGCCGGGATGAAATCTATAACCTCTCCTTCTTGTAGTCCTGATGAAGTTGTCTTTAGTCCTGATGTCCATCAAGCCTTGTATTGCCATCTCTTATCCGGAATTCTCTTCAGAGATCAAGTTCAATACGTCTTTGCCGTCTTTGCTCACGGTCTGGTTCACGCGTTTAGAACCTTTGAACAGGTTTGGGAAGAGATTGTTACCGATATAAAAGATGGTGTCTTAAGCAACCGTATTACTGTTCCATCAGTCCGTACTGCGATGTCGAAGCTGCTCACACCTAACCCTGAGCTAGCTGAGACAATCCGCTCCAAATGTATGAGTTTGAGCAACTGGTACGGATTGATTCCCGCGCTCTTCCCGAACGCAAAATATGTTTACGGGATCATGACTGGCTCGATGGAGCCGTATGTGCCAAAGCTGAGACATTATGCGGGCGATCTACCTCTTGTGAGTCATGACTACGGTAGCTCGGAAGGATGGATTGCTGCTAATGTTACCCCGAAACTCTCTCCAGAGGAAGCTACATTTGCAGTGATTCCGAATCTCGGTTATTTCGAGTTTCTCCCTGTATCTGAAACAGGGGAAGGAGAGGAGAAACCGGTTGGTTTAACTGAAGTCAAGATCGGAGAAGAGTATGAGGTTGTCATCACAAATTACGCAGGTATGTACCGTTGTTTTAAGTCTGAAATTCGCGTATTATCGGTCTCATAATGGATGCTTAAAATCTCATTTGATGCACATTGCACAGGGTTGTATCGGTACCGGCTTGGAGATGTGGTAAAGATCATTGGTTTCTACAACAACACTCCCCAACTAAAATTCATATGCAGGAGAAACCTAATCCTCTCGATCAACATCGACAAGAACACTGAAAGAGACCTCCAGCTTTCAGTAGAATCGGCTGCAAAGAGACTCTCAGAAGAAAAGATCGAAGTCATAGACTTCTCTAGCCACATCGATGTCTCGACAGATCCAGGGCATTACGCTATATTCTGGGAGATTTCAGGAGAAACAAACGAAGACGTTCTTCAAGATTGCTGCAACTGTTTAGACCGAGCATTCATCGATGCGGGTTACGTAAGTTCCCGGAAATGCAAGACTATTGGAGCCTTAGAGCTGAGAGTTGTCGCAAAAGGAACTTTCCGGAAGATTCAAGAACATTTTCTCGGACTTGGTTCATCGGCTGGACAGTTTAAGATGCCAAGATGTGTGAAGCCAAGTAATGCTAAGGTTCTCCAAATTCTGTGTGAGAATGTGGTGAGTAGCTACTTCAGCACAGCGTTTTGACTAAACTATACATTGTGAAATCAAGAAAGTGGTTTTTAGTTGTTTACTTGTCGTTGTTGTCTTTATTGTCAATATAGTTTCTTTACGTTATTTAATTGAGCATAAACTTTTGATCTTTATAGAAAAGAAATATTGTATCACAGTGGTTTTACTTTGCTTTTTTGTGCAATTAGTGTTTGATGTGACGTTTACCTTTATTATACTTATAAATAAAAATCAAGATTCGAATTTGATTGTCTGTATGGAGAATAAAATTCGGGTAATCTCTAATCTATCTGACCTGAACCATATCGAATAAATATTGTTTTATATTACTATATTCGAAACCAATAACGTGATCAATAATTGAATCTAGACATCAAAATTTGGTGCTTTTCTCAAAACAAGAAGAGATAAATATACATAGGGGTGTGATTTTGTCTGAGCAGCAATACGTGATTATGACATTATTGGTGGGACTGACGTTTATTTAGAGAGAGTTCTAACTCTTACGAAAAAGTAATCATAGATCTACTTATCTACATATAGTCCACTAATTTGTCATTATCGACTAGGAAAAAAATCTTTGATTGGAATCTTTTGAATTTTCAAGTATATAGTTGTTTCCATCTAGATCATTCAAGCTGATTATAATAAGTCTGAGCATAGACTTGTTATAAATATTGTAAAGACAAAAAGTTGATAGATGTGAAAATTAACTATCAGTCCACGACAAAAGTCAACGTAAATGTGCCTTGACTTTTAGAAACCTCCCCCGCACGTGACCGGTTGGAGAAAGCTTCTCTCCGTCCTCTCGTCGTTTAATGTTTCTCACAACCTTTGTTCGCCGAGTTGTCTCTCACAATCGTAATGGTTAGAAATTATTATCGTTTGTATATTACTGTTACAACAACAGTAATATTTTCTCTTACTGCGTAAGAACAATTTATCAAGGTAAATTATCCAAGTAACTTGCCTTTGCTTAGTCTCATTGTACTCGTTAGATCCGCTAAGTAATATGTAACGTAATTTAGTGGTTGTTCTATGGCTTGTCTGATGAAACATGAAATCACGGATTGTAATACTTTTTTTTTTTTTTTTGAGTCTCAGGGCAAATTAAAATAGCAAATACGAAGTGGAAGAATTTTTTTTTTTCTGGCTAGTCAATGTTCTGCTTTATGGATTAAGTGACAAATAGTCTTTGGACTTTTGTGAGACATAAAACATCATCACATTAAGGAAACTTGAAAAGTACAACCAATAGAAAAATCGAAATTGAAATATGGCATGATGAGATATTCCTAATTTGAAAAAATTATAACAAGAAAAAAAACAGCTGGAATTATTCTAAAGAAACGGTAACAGTACTGATAAGTGTTGACGTAAATTTGGTACAATATATGTCGAGATTTTTTACTAAAATAGTCACAATTTATCATTTATACACACTAACACTCACACACACATTCTATTTGGCCAGCCTATATAACAACAAACTTCGATACAGAAACAAAGCAAGAAAAAAAAAAACACTTAGAAAAACTTGAAATTGTAAGCAATCGACTTTGAGAGAACTCTTCAGTCCTTGACTAATGACGAAAAACACAAGAAACACCGGTGGAAGGAGCTCACAAGAGAAGATTAGTGATGGTCGTGATCCTAACATCTGGGACTGTGAGAGTACTCTCTACGATTCCTACGAACTTGTCTCTTTTGTTCACATCATCGAACGTAAACTAATGCCTTACTCTCCTCTCGCTCCGAAGTCTGGTTTGAGTCTACGAGCGGTGATGGATAAAGATAACGACGACTGTTCCTCTGCGTCGACTAAGAGGGGGCGTTGTATTCACCGGAGGAAATATTGGTGGAACAGAAAGAAGAACGACGAAATGAAGGAACGAATACATAAGAAGAAGAAGAAGATGTTTGATTGTAGTCTTTGGTGGAATTCGTGTTACAAGAACTTGTTCTTATAATATGTAAGCAGGTTAGTTGTTTATGTGATGAAAGTAATGTGTTGTGTGTTTTAGGAGATTGTATTACTATACAAGTAATCGAATAAACTGAGATGTGATAAGTATAAAGAAATTCACTGTGCTCCCATATAACTTTTGTTACAAAGTGAATTTTATGCCTAGAACTAGAAGATGTGAATTTACTATTTAGCAAAAAGAGAGTGGGCTTACGGTTAAGCCCATAAAGGCCCATCTTTTAAGGTCCAAACTTTTCTAGTACAAACAACCTCATTGATCAATTGATTTGAAATCCGTTAAACCATAAAGCTAAGCTACTGTATTTGGTTTTGCTTTACTTTTGTATAAAGTTTATATAGGTTGCCTTCAGTCCAACGACCATCTTGTAAATTTTGATTGTTGCTTTGTTTCTTTCTCAAATGAATTGGAATAAGCCTGATTCCATATTTCCCTCGTTCAATCTTTTGAAAATTACTTATGAACCAATATAGCGTAAGGAATTCAAAATCAGATCAGTTCAAGTTATAAAAAAATAAATGAGAAATAGACAACTAACCACTTTCTGCCACACCCTCATCAATTTAATGTTTCTTTCTTTTATTAGGATTGTCCCAAAACCAGTTTGGCTTTTGACCTTAACCTTGACTTTTCTCCCTCCTTGATTGATATTTTTATGTGAGCTCCACTTCAGCTTTATTTTATTTCAGTAAATTTCCCTTAGTTTTAAATATTACACTACTACTAAATGTAAGTAAATTTCGGAATAGTATGTACTACATATAAAAACATCGAAAACAAAAAAAAAAAAGTAAAGGTAAATCTTTAAATTTTATTCCTTGGCTGAAAAAGAAAGAAAGTGACAGACAAATTACAAAAATGTGGGCCCCAATTTGTAGATTGGCCCGCCCAAAATAAATCGATTTGAAACTCAATGTGTATAGTCTCTCTCTCTCTCTCTCTATCTCTCTCTTCTTCATGTTTGGTTTCTGAGAATGAAGGCTAGGCAAAGAGCTTCTATCTCTCTCATCTTCATCTCTTTAGAGTTTAGAGATATAACAGCAAAAACTCTAGCTCTTAAAGTCTTCTTGGTGTTTCTTCTTTAATTGATAGCTGGTATCTTTCGTGTCATCTCAGTGGACACTTTTCGTCTGTTTGTAATGGCTGAGTTGTCAACGATCGAAGCAAGGCTGGTTCGTTGTCCAAAGTGCAAGAATCTCTTACAAGAGCCTAAAGATTGCCCCTTTTTCCAGTGTGGCGGTTGTGGAACCGTTCTTTGTGGTTAGTTTCCATTTTTCATCTTCTCTTTAGCTGAAGAGAGTTCAGCAAAAAAAAAAAAAGAACAATTTCGAGATTGGTTCTTGTTTTGATGTTTCGTTAAGTTTCTGATTCTGTTTCTATTTATTTCCATGACGTCAATTAGGTAAAAGGATAAAACAATCCTGACCCAAAAGAGTTTTTGTTTGTTTGTTTTGTTACTATATGTATATGTAAAGCCAAGAACAAGGACCGTGAAGCTGATTTATTGTCGGTTAAGTCTGTGGAAGATAGAGCCAAAGAAACTCAAGTTAATTCTGGTTCAATTGATGGAGAATCTGATTCAGATGCTTCATTAAGACACCAACAAAATGGTCAAACAGAGACTTGGGATGTTCACAGTGATCCTACTTCGAAACTGAATGTTGTTGATCCGGGTAATAACGATTCTCAACCAGGTTTGGATCGGTTTAGGCAAAGAACAACCAAGAGATGCGATTTCCAAGGTTTCAGATTCTCCACTTCTAACTACTTTACAGATTCTCTGTCTAGTGATGAAGCAATTGAGCAAGACAGAGCTGGACTGGTGAGAAAATTGGATAAGCTAAAAGAACAGCTTGTTCAACCTAAAGAGCAGCAGATCCCGAGTTCGTCTTCAGGATTCGAAAAGCCTCCATTGCGGGTTTTCAGTTCCGGGAAACATATTGCAGCTCCTTCCTGTTACCGGAATTATCCAGAACCCGAGCCTCCATGTCTTTATAACAATAACACTAATATTTCTCTACGTGGTCCGATGCATAACCCCGCTCATGTTCCAGCATATGGAGACCCTCACGCTTTCCAAATGCATGATAGAACTCTGCAGCCATCTCATCTGCACAACTCTAGACAGTATATTGGCAATAATGGTCATGATTTGTTTGATACACATCCTGGAAATGGGATGTTTCATCAATCAACTTGCTCTTGTTCCCACTGCTATGATCCATATCATAGAGCTTCAGGCTCAGTGTTTCCTCCCTCAGGGTTGCCTGATGCTCTTTGTAATGCCGGTTTTTACCCTCATGAGAGAAGTTTTGGGTTTGGTACTTCATTGCATGGTCCGAGAACCTTTATTCCTCCTGGTTCTCAATCTCCCGGTCCACAGCTCCAACGAAGATGCCCGAGTGGATTTAAGGATACGGGAATGAATGCAATTTCTCGTGTTCACCCCCCTAAACGTGTATCATCTTCAGGTGGTTCTCGCCTAATTTACCCTGTAGCTGGTGGTGCACCATTTGTAAACTGTATAAACTGCTTCAAACTTCTGAGATTGCCAGACAAAATAGATTCTGCTACGAGAAAGAAACAGAGAATGCGCTGTGGAGCATGCTCTTGTGTAATAGATTATACCTTTGTTGATAAGAAACTCATTCTCTCCACAGATCCTGCTTCAGTAAGAAAAGCAGAAACTCATAGTACCCTGCGTTGGGAAACTACTGCTAACTTCTCTTCTGATGACTATGATAATGCTGCTTACGAATTCCAAGCAATGGATAGAGGACCAGCCGATGTATCAACTGGTCTGGCTTTGATCTCCAACAAAGCTCAAGAAATGCAGATCGCGGATTCTACTTCTCCTAGCGTGTCTGAAGACGAGCTAAGTTCAGACAGTTCAACAGTCAAGAAAGTTACTCCTGATTCGCCTCTTCACAAACACTTTGAATACTCTTCGATCAATGTAAGGGACCGGTCTGGGCCAAGGAGCCGAAGTTCTCGTTCAGAACGGGACAGGGTCATACTGAGCAAAACATCCATGAGACAGAACTCTATGAAAGAAACTTCAGTTGCAATTGAGATGGACGTTAATGACTACTCTCACAACAATGAAGTGTCTCAGGATTCTGCAAATGACTATACAGATGATCAAGGAAGAACCAAGAAGGGCAGATTTGCGAGTATCGTGAAGAATAGCTTCAAGGATCTGAAGAAATCCATACAGAACGAAGGCAGAAGTGATGTCTCAATAAATGGGCATCCTGTAGCTGAACGTCTTGTGAAAATGGCAGAGAAGCAGGCTGGACCAATCCGACCAGGAAACTACTGGTACCAGGAGGTCCTTCAATCTCATAATTTTTTCTCACCTACTAGCCCTAATGATTCTCTTCTGTTCTGTTGTTTGGTACCAGGTACGACTACAGAGCTGGATTCTGGGGAGTAATGGGAAGTCACTGCCTTGGAATATTACCGGTAAACTTCAGCTAACAAATAATATTTTTCAATCTCTCTTCATTTTCTTCAGAATGTGTACTAAAGCTGGCAAAAGGTGACTCCTTTCTTACAGCCTTTCATTGAAGAGCTCAATTACCCAATGCCAGAGAATTGTGCTGGCGGAACCACAAGAGTCTTTGTGAACGGAAGAGAGCTTCACCAGAAAGACCTGCGCTTGCTCACTGCCAGAGGTCTCCCACGGGATGGAGATCGATCATATACTGTTTACATCTCAGGTAGAGTCATAGGCGAAGATACCGGTGAAGAGCTAGATAGTCTTGGCAAACTCGCCCCAACGTAAGCTTTCACATAGCCTATAAACACCTCTCTATAGCCTTAATTTTCAAGTTCTCATGTATCTGAGTTTGATGCTACATGGCAGGGTCGATAAGCTAAAGCGTGGGTTTGGGATGAGAGTTCCGAGGAGAGCTGCATGAAGAATCTAAAGAAATGTTCATGAGCCTCTCCGTTTTGTTGTTGTATCCTCTGAACATCCGTGTTAGATTATCCTAACATTACTAGGCTAAACAATTTTCTAACTCTAGAGAGCCTTATGATCAATGTAAAGAATGAGAAAGTGGAAAATGAAATATCATTATTAGTAACAAGAATCTGAAAACAACACAAAGATCTGTGTATTCAAAAGCTTACAAAAGCATTATTGAGCATACACTGCAAGAACTAAATGTATCAAATCACATTTGGTAGCATCTTCACATTCGTCTTCTCACTTGTTTGTTGAGACATTCTTCTTTTGCTCCCCTTTCGTTACCTGATCATAAAAAAAAATGATGAAATTGGTTTATGCATTCAAACATAATCTCCAGAAGATCGAGAAAGAAGCTTAACCGCCTGATACGGATCAAAGTCATAACCTTCATAGCGTTGTAATTGGATTTCTAGATTCAATCCTAAAAACCCAAATAAAGGCAATCCTGATCCTAAGAAGAACACAAATTTTCAATTAAAGGATGTTCCTTTCACGCCTCAAGGCTCGAAAATGCCAATTACTAACTCATCAAGAGTATTTCTGATCCGAATAAGATCAAAGGAGGAGCGCAACACATGAAAATTTGCGAAGAAAGGGGGAAAAACCAGCCAATGAAGATATAGATCTAACGACCTAACAAGAGAAAGAGAACGAGAATACGTTTTGCAAGACGATTCCGACGGCGACGGCGGCAATTACGGCTCCGCCGAGGATAACCGGTGGACCGGACAGCAAACTCCACTTTCGGTAAATCATCTTTTCTCCTTTGATCTTCTTCGGAACTTTCGTTTTGGTCTTCTCCGACTATCTGCAGCAAGATTCTTTTGATGACATCGACGACACAAGTCTCTTCTCGAAATTGGGCTTGTTTAGTTTTTTTATTTTATTTGGGCTTGAGGCCCATAAGAACTATAGGTTCCTTCTTAATTTGATTTTTACATTTGTTGGAATTTGAAAGATGGAAGATTTTCCACTTTTTAATCTGTTCATCCAAATAATTGCATCACTTTCACAAAGCATTTTCAGAAGTCAATCATACAAATGTCTTTCTATCAATTTTAATCACAAGAATTTAACAACTTAAACTAACAAATAAACCTTATATAAAATCCTTTCTTTATTAGTTGTCATAAAGTACAATCCAACTTCATAGGGAAATCATAATAAACCCTGCTGATACAAAAAATCTATACTACTATACTAATTAAACTGACCATCTATAATTAATTACTGCCATTAAGAGAGACATTACATTCACCAAATCAATTCAAAGCTACGACCACAACCAATCCTGTCCGAAATCGATGATATTGTCCAGAGACGAGAAATACGAATCTGCAGTTTCCGAATTCTCAATAGAAGCAGGTGCAGATATAACCTCGCTGGTAATTGCAGAACCTGATGTTGCAGGAGAAAGATCTTCCATGAAATTTTCCGAGAAAATGTTGCTTTTCCACACACCGTTCTCAATCTCATGGTTAGAGAAAGAAAACGTTCTGAAAATGTTCTTCTTGTTCTCCAGATCTTCAAGATTTATCATCACTTCTTCGGACTTCGTCGGTTTGGTGTCTTCTGTTTGCTCTGTAACATGTACTCTGTTTCCTTCTTCGAACGACGAAACAGAGAAGTTCGTGGTCATCGTCGTCTTCGGGGATGTGATGTTGTCACAAGTGTGGTTTCCGAGATACTTCACTTCGTAAACCAAAGGATCTGTGTCTGATTTCTGAACTTGCTTCACTGCTAAACAGTCTTGTGTGAATCGATGCGTGCATCTGTAATATGCTCTGTAATAACAAAAACAGAGAGCAAGAATTTAGCAAATTTCCCGGAAAGAAAAATTAAAACTTTGAAATTCCCAGATGATGATTATTGATAATTACCTAGGATTTTTGGATCCATGAATCTCTTTTTGCCCGTATTTTCTCCAGCAATGACCATCATCGATTGAACCATTTTCTTGTCCTGTTGCAACAAAAACCTTAACTTTCTCTGTCTTCTTCTCCGAAACTTTCCTGAAAATCACCAAAAAAAAACAGAGGAATCAGACACATGAACACAGATTGGGACTCAAACAGAGGCCAAAAAAAAAAACAATCTTTGAGCTCAATTTTTACCTCTTTTTGAAGACGTTTTTAGAATCCTTTCCATCGATCTCAAGGCTTCGCTTAAGGATGTTCTTGTCTTCGTTGAACCTCAACATGAAAATGGCATTCTGGTAAATACGGAGGATTTCAGAGATCAAGGTTTTGTTGGAATCAGCAGAAGAAGTGTGTTTGAGATTGCTCATCAATCGATTCGCAAGCTCTTTCCCTAGCTCCAATTCGTTGATCACGAGTTTCTCTTCCATCATCATCTCTCTGCATTCACTTGCAAAAATTAAGAATCTTTTCTCTTAGATCTTTCTCTGTTTTTTATGGAGTGAGATTGGTGAGAGATGTGAGTTTCGTCTGTGAGTGTCTAGGTCTATTTATATCCATGGATGATGAGATTCTATGATGGTACTTGTCCTTGTGCTTAGACATTAAGTTTTTAATTTTTATTTTTTGGTTTCAAGCTTACACCAGAAGTTGTGTGGAAAAGAGAAGGATCTTGGAGAGAAATTGACAAAAAGAGACTATTATTTTCCACTCTTTTTCATATTATTAGAATATACTATAAAATATAAAACTGCTAATTCGATACCTGATTAAGCTATTATAATTCCTTCTTCTTTTTTTTCTGGGACAAAGCTATTATAATTCTTATCTTATTATTTTCTATCTATAATTTTGTACATTAGATAAACTAATGAACATATCAAGTATATCTATAAAGCGTCAACTAACTCTCCCCAATCACACAATAGAACCCATATTTGGTGAGTCTCACTCAATCGGTTTAGCTAATCTTATTTTCTTTAAAAAGTTAAAAATATTAATTATAGTTATAATTATTCAGACGAGTGAACCAATAAACCATATTTTTCAAAGACGTCCTGCCGCGTTATAGATTCGGTTGAATGTCTTTCTTTTGTTTAGCTGACGTGAAGAGTACTCGTGATGTCACTTCTAATTATACGTACATTCTAGTTTAAGGTAGCTAAATTACACTCTTTTATTTTACAAAATGAAATAGAATACAAAGGCTTGGTTTATTCACATAGTAACAAATATTTATACACAAGAGTAATTCCTAATCTCGTTAGGAGATTTTATTTTATTTTATTTTATTTTTTCGTTAAGAGATTTCCTTTTCTCTAGATAAGATCAAATTTATACTTATTCTCTATCAAAAATATTGATTTTGTAGAGTTTTCACACCAATTAAGAAAAATATTTAATGTTTAGTTATAAATGCACTATTTATTCATACCAAACTATTTCTCATAGCTATTAACCAACAATAATTCATCAAATTTTTAAATTCTCAATTAATGATTCTTGAAATTCACAATTTATTAACATTAATTGATAAAAATTTACAGAAAATCAATCTTTTGATACAAAAATAAAATCTCAAAATATCATTCTTTAAAATACGGAGGGAATACTTAACATATATCCTAGCCATTACAAAACAAAGTTATTTATTTTAAATTACCAATATATAAGCATTTATTGCATATATTTGTATATGCTTTATTCGATTTACTCATATATGAGTATATATATATATATATATATATATCAACCATTTTATATTATATATGAGTAATATATAATTACTCATATATTAGTTATATTTTAGGGGGTCAAAGATCGAAATTATAGTGGCCCAAAAAGGCAAATCAATAATCTATGGATCAAATCAAACCATGCAGGTGTAGTTTTGAGAAAATATACCAATGTGTCTTTTTCATTCACACAATTGACAGTGACGTATTAATATTATCATTATTAATACGACTGAAATTCGTAATCACGATGATCCATTTATGTTGTATATAGTATTATATTCACCAATGTATAGGCTTTAATATATAGAAACGAACAAAATGATACAGAAAATACATATCTAATAAGCTGATTAATTAAATGCATTAAACTAATGGTTGAACAGTGATTTAAAATCGTAATAATAAGTCATAATTAGTAAAAAAAATTTAGATCACCAAATACAAATAACAAACTGTTTTGATAGTTATTAGTTATGGTATATGAAAACTACAACGAATTACGAAAAAAAAAAATCAAAAAACAGTTTGTAGTGCATCCATGTAGCGTGGCAATTCTGTATTCAAATTTTGTTCGTGGAACAAACAACAAACAAATTTTGCGTAAATTTAGATGAAACCTAACCTTATGCATTTGCCATATTCATCTTCAGTTTAAAAATTGTGAATGTCGTAGATAATATTGATATATCCACATTACTGTATATATTCTATGTTTCTCAGTTATCAACTTTGTAGCTTTCTGAGTCCAAACTAATTTTTTTGGCAGTAAGTGTCTAGAGGCTGCATGCTGCTTGAACTTAATTAATTACTACTTACTAGGAAAATAATTTTTAAATTTTGATTTAAATGTTTATTCTACGACGCGTCGACTGCTTGTTTAACGCGTCTGGTCAAGGGAATAGTTTATGCCTAACTAAATTCAGTAAAATGGCCGAGTGGCATATACATGCACATGGCCTTTTTGTGAAAAAAATAATTAATACCTTTAATCACAATTATTAAATAATTATTCAAGCATGAATGGACTATATATATGATTAATTAGTGCTTTAGTGGTTTACTATCTTAATTTTGGCTGCTCTTGCTTTGAATTGATAACAACCAACGATTATAAATTGCAAGATATATTTCCAACTTCGTCTCAAATAAATGATGCTTTATCATATGTTTTTGTTTTTGTAGATGAAAATTGCCTTGTTAATCAATGTCTGCATTAGTCCATTATGGTCCTAACTCCTAACTTATATGCATCGGCTAGAAATCAACATCTAAATGATAAGATTGTTTCGTATCTGTAAAAGTGTTTAGAATATATGTAATGTACTAAGAATCGCAACCACAAAACAGTAGGAACTATAGGATTATTATGCCACAGTCAAGATTCAAACAAAATCGATAGGATTATATAACTTGTAACGGGATTGTGGTGTAAATGCTTTAGAATATTTTACTAACAAAAAATGCTTCAAGGTCCTAATATCAATAAGAAAACAATCTGATCTTAAATTAACGAAATCAGAGAAAAATACACATGTACCGTAGCTTTGGTTAATGGTTAGTACTCTCTCCGTTTCAGTTTAGTTGTCGTTTTAGGATTTAAATTTTCTTCCATAATAATTGTCGTTTTAGGTTTTCAATGCAAATGTTTGGTGAAAATTCCAGTTTTATCCCTACAGTTGGCCAATGAATTTTTTTATAAAATATATTAATAAAGAGTAAAACAGAAAATTTAATGCTTTCTTAATTTGTGTGAAAAAACCTTAAATGACAACTAAAACGAAACGGAAGGAGTATAATATGCCACGGTCAAGGGTCAAACACATATTTATGATCCGAAGATACCTGAACCAAATATTCATATGCTGCATGAAAATTTTGTAATCACATAAAAATAAAATACGTCAAATACAAATCGACTTTTATCATAATTACTTAAATGTGACAATAAATATTCGTTATTGTCTCGTGAGGAAAGAAAACTTCCAAACACAATATTTTCTTATCGATGGGAATGGATAAACCGTATTTAAACTTTGGAATAAATTCATTAACACAAAATAAACCTACATCGATGAGATATTCTTTGTACAAAAACATAAAATCTAAATGTAATTGGAAATTGTCTGGTAATTTCCACGAAAGGTCTTTGGGTGCGTGTTGAAAAAGATATAACTCTCCTTAGAGACCCACATGTCACTTCATAGTTCATATGCTGATCAAATTTAATTTGTAGAAATAAATATACTTTCTAAAGTAATAAACATATACACCTTAATTGAATTTAATCAAGGGTATTAAGTAAGTCACATATACATGTTAATTTGTTGAAATTAGTGTTCTTGATTGATATTCTCCTGATCAATTTAATTGTCAATTAAGAATTTAAAATTTGTTTAATAATAAGTGTCATTTTAAGTTTTTAATGCATCTGTATGATAAATTTTCTATTTTTGTGTTTACTATTTAGTGTGTTGGCCAATGAAATTTTATAGAAATATATAAATAATAGTTAAAATTTAAATGAATTATTTTCTTAGTTTATGTGAAAAAAACTTTAAATGACACTCCTTATGTTTTATAAAAAATGTCATTTTGACATATTTTACACATATTAAAAAATGAGTTAATTATATAAACATACTCTTTGTAAAACGGAGAGAGTATTTAATTTAATATGAGAGTAATGTTTGGAAGCTTATAAAATATGTATAAAAATAATCATTTTTTTTTGTTAACTAGATATTTTTAAGATAAGCTAAGTACCAATAAAAAATTGAAACCAAACGGCATATGAATTTGAATTTGTTTAGTACTGGAAGAGTTTATAGTGGTTTAACATTAAGCTTATATTTTAGCCAAATGCAATTATACTCTTCTTTTCATGTTTGGTAAATAAATTCTTGGAATTGTTTCGAAATAAACTTCACTTTATGATTGATATATATATATAAAACATGTCGAATTGATACGAAACATAGCCTTATCTTTTTCTTTTTTTTTCTCTTTTTTATGTGAAAGGGTTTAAATCATAATATGATTAATATCGGGGATGATTGGAAGAGACCGTAAAAGCTTTTTAAAGTCTTAAAAGCCAAATATTTGCCAATCACAATTTGGTACTTTAGATTTTTTTAAAGTTTTTAAAGTCCAACTGCCAACTTTTTTTTTTTACGTACAAATTTCTAAAATCTCAAATATGAGGTTTTCAAACAAATAATAAAACTTTAAAATAAATAATAATTAAAAACTTTCTTTTTTCTTCTCTTCATAATAATTAGAATCTTTCTACATGTTTATATATATTGTTTCACATATATTTTTTGATAAATTAATTATTATCATTTTAATCTTTATTTTAAGATCCATTTTAATAATAATCATTTTATTTTCATAATCACCATTAATATTAGTATAAAAGAGTTTATAGAATATTATTTTTAATAAACCATACACTTTATATAGCCCATTAATTATTTCATAAATTGCTTCATCATTAATAGTTTTATTGATTTTTTATTACTCAAAATTATCCACTATTATTAGCCATAACAATTGCTCAAGAATCATTCAAGATAAGTATTTTAACTATGTCTACCTTTTAGTTTATTTTCCCAATGTTTATTTGGTTTGTTAGCTAAATTTTATGTTGACTAGTTTACCAAAATAATTATAGTAAAACATATTTTAAATATTTAAAGGACAAATTTTTTTTCAATTAATCAAAATAATTTCAAAACAAATAGTTACAAACTATTTTTAGAAGATCACTTAAACCATTATCCACTTTTTAATGCAATGTTTGGTTATTAAACATGAATGAATAATACATATTTCGTTTATTTATTGAGAATATTATTCTATACATTTATTTATGAATTTTTTATTTTTCTAAATTCTTATCATTAATAAAATTATATTGTCACATGAATTCATTTAATTTTTATCATTAATAAAATTATATTGTCACGTGAATTCATTTATAACATTATTTATATTTATTATAAATATATATAATCCTAAAAAAATAACAGTCACAGTTTCTACAATTTTGTTCTACCAATCAGGTTTTAACAGCCAAAGTTTATACAGCTAAAGTCTCTGCAGTTAAAATTTCTAAAGCCAAAGTTCTTAAAACCACAGTCTTTACACCCAAAACTAACGGCTTCTTCCAATCACCCCATCATCATTAAATATTTCACAAATCAAATCAAGTAGCTGTTAGAGGTTAAGACTATGGTCCAAAAAAAAAGGGAGGAAGTTAACAAAAATCAAAATTCGTTGAATACCTAACGACGATCATATATTTAACAGTAAGTGCACTAATCATTAAATAATAAAATGAAGAATAACAATATCAATATTGATGCCTGCCGTATTGAAAAAAATCAAAGTGTTAGTCACGCCAAGTGTGAACACAGAAAGTCGTGTTAGATGATAAGCACGTGGGAAAACATCTTAACACTTTCATTGTATCTGTCTTTTAGATTAAAGTTGTCGGATTTTTCAGCCTCGTTGCTATGCGTGGCCGCAAACTTATTTAATACTGTCGCATATAAGATATATGTAGATTTGCATGTATAATTTGCTTGCACAGTGTAACGGGGGAGATAAAATGATATGAAAAATGAGAGATCAGGGAATATTTGCAACTAATCGAAAATTTTACCATGTATTAATATAGTTTTGAATCTTTTGACAATTATTATCCAAAGAATTAAAAAGGAAGGTCACAAAAGATATGCTTTCGTCATGTCAGTTGAGTTCTAAAAATCTTGATTTAAAAGGAATCTAAATACAAGAGAATGAAACAATGTTACAACATAGGATAATTCGTAATGATCGTTGTATTTTTTTGGCAGCTAAAAGTAGCGTTTTAAAAATAAGAAAGAAAAACAAAAAATGATAACAGTTGCATACTTGCATTAGGCCACACCTACAGTAGAACGGCATGATTGTTATGAACCAAATTTTTAAACGGCATGCATGTCTCTAATGTTGTAAAATTTCTTAACTAAATAATGGGCTTTCATTGTGGCCCATATTAATGAGCTAACTCGTCGACCCATGTCGTAGGCCACTTACAGGTTCTAAATTTCCTGTCTCGAACAAATAAAGTTACATCTTTGGTTCAGTTATAGCATTTTCCTATGGAGAAGAAATGCTGTTTTATTGTTGTTGAAATCAGAGAGACCCTTTTTTATTATTCCTTATTTCACCTTTGATTTTGTATGAAAGAACAACACTGAAAATTTTGGATACAATAGCATACAGATTTAAATTTAAAATTTACGGTCCTTGGACGGAGCCGATGTACCGCAAACTTTGTTACCATTCACGTTTATATATGAAGCAAGTGGATTTTCTAAAAAAAATTAATATTTAATAGAACTACAGTGAAAGCGCATGAAATTTGTGAGAGAAATGTTGATCCACCTTGCACAGTAGGCACGCTCTATTTGCTGTGTGTTTTGCTCCACTTCTCAATTTTTTTTGTGATTATTATTTTTTAAATATGTTTTATCACTTTATGTCTTATTGTACCTATATTTACTACAACACATGTTTGAAGTAATTTCATTAATTCAAAAAATCTATTTGAGATCATTATGAATATTATTATTTTTAGAAAATTAAAAACAACATATTATGTAATTATTCATATTTATATGTTGTATTTATTAACATTTTATGTTATTATATTGTATAAAATGACAAATCATTGTAATTAAATAATATACACTTTTTGTACTTATTAGTATTTATGTTATTATATTGTATCTAAAATACTAAAAATATATTAAAAATCATAAATCAATATAGCAAATTTTAATTTCTTTAATTTAATATAATATAATTTAATATGTATAGTATTCTATAATTTATTTATTTTAAATTGATATTTTTACTATATAAAATTTGATCCATATAATGTAAAATTAACGTTCTTTACAATATAAATATTTTATTTGTATTATCTGATCCGCTTTCACCATTCAACATATATTTTTAAAGCGTTCGAACCGCTTGATCCGCACTTGTACCGCCAAATCTGCTTGATCCGCTTTTGTTCTGCTTGATACGCTTGATCCGCTTGATCCGCTCCGCTCGATACGCTTTCTCCATTCGGAGCCGCAGTGTTCTTGTAGGATAATAGCGGTTCTCATGATTTTTTTTATATGTATCTGCTATACAAAATTTGAATTTAAATAATAATAAATCATATACGGTTTTTTTATTAAAGGAAAATAACGAACATTGAGCAAATCATCATATATACCATTGATGTGCATTTCGAGTGTTTCAACTGCGTTTTTTTTTTTTTTTTCTGTTAATTCATTTTAAAAAGGTTACAAACAGTAATAAATTATAAATTTTATCTACTGATATAATTTTTAATAAATTATGTTATTCTAAATCAAAGAGTTTAGTTTAAATTTAATAATTTTTATATTCGTAATTGGATCACAATAACATCGTTTGTTCGTTTCTAGGCTTTTATTATTTTTGGGACAAGTTTATCAATCTGTTTGATAACTCAGGTGATCCTATAGACTTTCTATACCCAAAAACTAATCCTGGAGCCCAGAAAACTATGTTAGATTTCGAATTCCGGTGACCAATGCTACTCAAACCCAGGTGGCGGAAACTTTTCTCTCCTTTACCACTGGACCAAGGCGACTTGGTTAAGTTTCGCCTATAGAATTGGTTAAGTTTCTCAATCTGACCCATACAAGTCCAAAATTTTCATCTCATATATGTATATGTTATAATAATTATCTATTTTAATTTAATATCAATATTTTAATATATTTAGTTTATATAAATATTTTATAATATATTAGTAATTTTTACTATGTAAATATTTGATCTGCATTTTTTAATCCGTTTTCACCATTCAAACATATTTTGGACCGCCAGAACCGCTTGATCCACTCTTGTTCCGCCAAAATTACTTGATCCGCATATGTTCTGCTTGATCCACTTGAACCGCTTGATCCGCTCCGCTAGAACCGCTTTCTTCATTCGGAGCCAAAGACTTAAGACTTTAGAAAATTGTGGTTTATCTCAATAAATAATTCAGTTATACGATAATATATAGAGAGACGTGTAAATGGAGTTTGATACAAATTTGAAATTCCTAAGCAATTTTTTCTTATATATATAGATAATTATACATTCCAAAATAGTAATTCCAGGACAGGTACATTTCCTTTTTTTCTTGTCTTGTGAATTAAGGAGAGGAAAAATTTCTTTTTATCCAAACAAAAAAAATCATTTCCTAAAAACCTCTCTTCGTCTGTTGGCAAAAACGACGCCGTGTTTCATAAGCCAATATCTTTCTATCTCCTCCGGCGTCCGTCCCGGGATCCTGCCGGCGATCAACTCCCACCTACGCGCCATGTAGGATAAACTAACAGTCAGTTTTAACGAAATTACACAAATACCCTTTATTCCGGTAAAAACCAAAATAAGTTTGTAATTCGGTTAAAATTCTAAGGAACCGAACCAAAATCGTATGATAATTTTCACTTGTTACATACAAACATGCTGTAATCAAAACAGAACCAAACTAGCCAAAATCAAGCAAACAACGAAATCGAATATGAGTTCTGTCATAAATTAAGAGTATGTTTTGCTAAAAAATCATATGAAAACAAAACAAAAACGAAATCTTGATGAGGTTTAAATATATAATTTGATCAACTAAAACGAAAAACAGGATCAGAAATCAGGTTGAAAACAGTCATTGACAGCTCTGTTAGGCCCAATAATATAATCGAAAAAACATAAATAAACGACCGACTTTATGTGATCAAAATCAAAGCAGATTCGACAAAACATGAAAGAACAAAAAAACGAAAGAAAGAAAAAATATTAGGAATAAGATGGATCGAGAGAGAAAGAGTCTCTGACCTGTCGCCAACGAGTTTATACATCTTCTTCCGACATCTTCACAGCTTCCCATTCGATACTACTCACCTCTGCGAAACAAACACACAAACAAAATCAGACTCAAACCGATCAGAGAGATATACATAGAAATAGTGAAACAGAGAGAAATCAGACCTTCGGAACAAGAAGCCTTGGCTTTACTCTGTCTCCGTCGTCGTTTATCCATTTTTTCCGTCTTGTCTGAACGAAACATCAACTAATCTGAAGACACGAAACACAGAGAGAGATAGAGAATAAAAATCTCGAGAAACAAGAAGAAATGATTTCCTCACGAGGGAAAGGATTAATAGCTTTTCTTTTTGGGTTCTTGGAAAGAAAGAGTGAGAGAGAGAGGGGCTCGAAAAGGAAAAGAAAATCAAACTGATTATTATATAACTGCGCATGTCTGATTTAATTCCTAGAATATTTATTTATTTAATACTGTATTATCATCCTCCATTATTTAAATAGACTGATTAATAAATGAATTAATTCGATTGAGCGAAAGAAAACGAATCTGTAAACTGTGTAGTTCACTGTGTGTGTGTTGCTTCTTCCAACGGCCTTTAGTTCATAAGAGAAAGAAGAACGACAGATACAACCATAACTACTTATTTTAAATCCTTTGACTTGCGGTTGTAAATTCCTCGTTTACAGACAGTTGGAGAAATAAATAGTAGTAGCTTCTCCTCTGGCTTTGACTTTCGAAATTACCAATTTGTCCCTTTTATGTGTTTTCGTTTGTAGTTTATTTGCTATTCTACATTAAATATAACTAACATTCTGTCAAAGCTAAAAATATAACTCTTCAACAATAACAAAAGTTATTTGTTGCAAGAAAACAACAAAAACAGTGACATAAATTTCAGGAGTTGGATTTGAAAGTTTGATATAAAGAGGAAAGTTTGGTAGGAGAGAACAGCACAATAGGAAAATAATATTATAATCAGACAAGAGGGTAAAAAAAGAAAATAGTTAGTTCGAGAACATATCTCTCTCTATGTATCTCTCATACTATATTCCTTTGGTCTGATGGTACTGTCGTCAAAAAGTGGGCACAACACCCGTATGGTTGTGCGTCTACTGGTCCGATGTCGATGTGGTCCGAAAACGTACTTGTTTTTCTTCATTAATTAAATATCTTTCATTACAAATATGCTTTAAACAGCATCTCGATACCGTTTTAATTACATATTTCAAGGTTTCATCTATTCATTTTTATATCACATATGGAATTTTTAGACTAAATGGAGTGAGACGAAAGAGCAAAGAAACACATTTGTTGTATACAAAGCTTTGACTCGCAAAAAAAGGCATGAATCAGACAACTATCTAACAACAATTATTTAGGACATGTGGTGGTTAAAGCTATTTAATAACCAAAAAAAGATTTTGTAGAATATATGAGATTAACCCTTTTCAATTTTCTAAAATGTTTTTTAATTTATTTATCTCTATACTATTAAAAGAGAAGTACAAATGAAAATGGGTCGGATTAAAATCAGAAAATTGACCCGAAATTCTGAAATCGGATCTTTGAAATTTTTTTGGAATATAAATTCGAATTAATAATGAAAAATCGAAATAAAATCAAATATTTATAGAAATCAAATAAATTCTGATTGTACTTATGGTAACTAATAATAAAAGCATATTCCAAACAATATTATACATTAATTACGTATAATAAATTTGTCCATATATTTTTAGGACTAATTCTATAACAATCAACGTTTTTGTCATTAATTTCGCTCATTTTAGCCAATTATCATTAATTGAAAGATATTTTACTTGCTTCTAAAGATTTCTAGAAAATTTATCACAAATAACCCATCTGTTTGTTTTTATTTTGGTCGTGTAAATTAAATAGATATTTTTAATTTGGTCATGTAAATTAAATAGATATGAAATCCATGTAACTAATTTTAATTTAATTAGATTAAATCGAAATTATGATGTTTTCATACTTATAGCTTACCAAAGAAGTTTAATTTTCAATTTATAAAGATTTATTGAATATGATTTTAGAATTATTCAACAAGATGATAAGTATTTATTAAATTTTGTGAATCATGAAAAATAATAATTAATTTTTAATCATTATACTTCATCTTTCAATCTCTCATCTAACAAATAAGATACATATTCTATTATTACTATGTCCAAACTTCATTTTGTTGTATGACTAAATAATATTCCCATTAGAACTGTCAAAGCGAGTTGATTCGTCCCGTTAAGTCCGTTTTGCGATAGACAAAAAATATTTTGACTTGTAGTTAGTCGGTCCGCACGACCCGCGGGTAGCATATATGAAATACAAACCCGTTCCGCGAATGTATGCGGATTTGCGGGATTGTCCATGGATTTAAAATACTACTAAAATAAATAAATAAATCAAAATACTATTAAAAGTTTGTTTAAATTACCACATGTTGAATAAATTATAATTTTATCAATAAATACTAATACGCGGGCTGATCCGCCTACCCGCGGATGAAAATCGATTAAACTTATGACCCACTGCGAATTAATCTATGTGGCCCGCTTATTTGCGGGTTTAATATATTTTCCCAAATCTGCCCCATAGTGAGATGATGTGGGCTCGACCCGCGGTTTTTGACCTATTTTGACTGCTCTAATTCCCATGAATAGTCTAATTTTAGAATTTTAAAACACAAAATTCTATTTTGTAAATCATAATTAATACGATGGGTATATTTATAAACAATTTTACATTTTCTCTATAATTCGTTATTATGAATATTTATAAGTATACTATACGATTCGTTCTACTAAAAAACACACACAATATTCAACGCAACGTATGTAAACCAATATTCTCCCGCGGTGGATCGCGGGTCCGATCCTAGTAAGATTTATATAAGATCTGCAGTGCGAAGGTGTGAGATACGTCTATATTCTATAAGATGAATAGCTGCTCTACTCTTTTCTTTTTTTGTGGTACATGTTATATTGTTATGATAAAATTGAAAAAGTTCAAATCTATGCATTTTTCATTGCTTGATTTAACCAGATTATAGAGAGAACTTGAATAACCAAAACAGTTTAAACTGCTGAAAGACCATAGAGATAAGTTGCATATATCTCGTAGATTATATGCTAATAAAAACAGTTATGTTGAATATAGATGGCTGCTACATGCTTGTTGATTTGTTATATGGGTTTTTTCATAAAGAAGTGGTTAAAATGTAATATGTCGGCCTAATAAGTAATGGGCCTGTTCAAAAGAAAAGATAATGGGCCTATTGATAATTTTAGTGTTATCGGCCAGCTTGAGCAGTTGAGCCCATACTTAAAAAGGCCCATGAATTTCTGGAAAAACGAAGAGTACTACTACAACACGCGTGACACGCACATCTAATACCAAAAAAAAAAAAAAAAAAGCTTATCAATCAATCAAAATCAAATCTTCAATTATAAAATTTGGTCGGTTTAAGAAGTGTTTACGTGGTTATCAGCGTTAACTTAGAATTGATTTACGAAAAGGCAAAAAATTATCAAAGTGTTGACTTGTGCTACCGTTTTTGCCCCTTTAAAAGTCTCAAATTCCAAGACGATAGTGGTCAAGTACCCTCCACGCTTCTCCTCTCTTTGATCGCCACGTGTTTACCACCGCTCTCGTCCGAATTTGTCAGCATCTGTGTGCCACGCCACGCGGCGGCCAGTTTTCCGACGTTAATTTCTCCCGTAATTATCACACGTGTCGTGTTTCAAATGGATACCAACTTTTTTTTCAAATGGATACCAACTTCGAGCTTATTTTATGGAGTTTTTAATTTAAAGTTTTGAATACTTTTTTAAAAAAACTCAGCGTTTTTTTATTGGCGGGTCCAGTGGATTAATGGAACTAACGTAATATAATTGGTGAATGAATATGTCTGTTTCATTGAACTCATGCGTTTCTATTAAAGAAGTCACGGTTTTTTTAATGAGTTCACGTGGTCAAGTGCTTAGCTCGTGAGTCGTGAGCCGGCTTCAGTTTTCATACTCAGCTTTATCACAACATTATTAGAGAGAATAATTCACTTTCATTGTATAAATGCCAAAAACAATTAATACCAACTTGTTTTGATAATTACAAAGTTACAAAATACAAGCAATCAGAGTTTTGAAGTTAGATTTCGTTTGAAACGTTCCAATTATCTTTTTTCGAGGAAAAGAAAAATACAACATTTTGGATTATATATGTCGAAAAGACTATACAAAAAGTTCTCTATAGAAACGACGAAAAAAATATTACATCTAATTTTTTTTTTTTGTCAATAACTTTATTAGATTAGCTTATACAAGCCAATTTGGGGGATATTGTTTACATAGGTAATTAGATGCGGTTGGGTACGAACATTTCGTGCCAGATTATCTGCTTTTGAATTTGCACGTCGAAAAATCAAAGATAAAGAGAAAAAATCAAACTCATCCTTGTCGCTCTGAATAGCCTCTAGATAGGTAGAAAAAGCTGGCCACTCCGTCGGGGAAGACACCATCTTCACCAGGTCTGAGCAGTCTGAATAGAAACTTACTTCGCGTTTGTCTTGGCCAATCATACATCTCATGGCCCAAACTAATGCTTTCACTTCTGTGTGTAGACATGTGAGACATCTAAATTTTTTATATATAGATAAATTAAATCATTTGTAAAGTATTAAGTAAAAAATTATTTTGTCACTATATATAAAGTAACTAGTAACTATAGTCCGATCGATCCGTTTCGTTAGAGTTTTCAATAGATAACTATATAAACTAGTACGGAAATAAAAACATTTTTTCGCAATATATATGTCTATGTCAGTGTATATTTATACAAAAGTTAATTAAAAAAATTAAAAGCTCATAAATAGGAGATCTTGTATGAAATGAGATATTCTTCTAATTTTTGAACCATTTTGTGTTAGAGAAAAATAAAGTGGTCCTGGAAACATATAAAATAAAAGAAAAAGATGCTATTCCTGGAGACTGAGAGTACAGTGGAGGTCCATGCCATCTCGTAACACTCAACAACTTGCCAAATTAGCTTTCACTAGCTGTTGTTATACATTCATTTCTTAATTTAAATCGGAATATTTATCAGCTTTAAACATTATATAACCAAAGCATAAACTTGATGCATCTTCTTAATTAGAAGGCGTTAACTTTTAGTTTAATCTCCGATTATAGTGATACGCTCCTTGCAAATAAAATATACAAGCTCTGAAAGTACTATATCTCGTGTGTTTTAGGGTTTAGGATTTAGGGTTTAGGGTTTAGGATTTAGGGTTTAGGGTTTAGGGTTAAGCCGAGCCAAGCTATTAAGTTGTACTGCTAAAGAGTTTCGCCGATTCTTTTAAGACTGACGAGATACTAAAAACTGAACTATATTCCCTATATAGTTAAACACCAAATTTAATTCTAAACTCAACCGTATTAAATGAGTAACGTACCATTACTTTAAAACAAGAAAAAAAAAAATCAAATTGAAACTAAACTAAAAATTCGGTATAATTATTTTTACTCAAAACATTGGAAATAGTTTTTTTTTTTTTTTTTTTTTTTTGTAAGTAAAGTGAAAAAGCACTCGAATAGTGTAACTACTAATATAAATTTTTGTTGCTGGTGAGATTCTTTTTTCCTCCTTCCCCAGCGGACGTCTCCGTCTCTTCTTCTGCTTCTAACAATTTTCATTCAACAGGACTTGTAAATTCTAAGCTTGCTTAGCAGATTAATGGCGTAGCAAAATCTTTATCCAACTCTGGCTGTTGATGTTTTCTTGTTTCTCATCCTACAAAAAGACCGCCGGATCTTGTTTCCCCGAACTTCTCCTACGCATCTTCTTCCGATTCCGTAGAGTTTGTGTCGTTTTTTAATTCCACTTGTTGTAATTTCTTGAAAAATTCGTGTTGTTTATACTAATTCTGAATCTTTAGAGGGCCCAAAAATTCGTCGAGAAATCTGTCTTGGAAGTGTAGCATTTTGGATTAAATCTCGAATTTAAGGTGAAACCACCTTGGATCTTCTCCATGATCTTTGTCGTGGACATTTTTTTTTTTAAAGCTTAGTAGATTCTCTAATATTTAATTAGAGAGCATCTATCTGTTCGTGTAGATATATATTTATTCAGCTTTATTGTTAGATAATGATTAATTATTGCACACAATATTATTGAATTTTCCTGTTGCTTTTCCCGGCTAGAATTTCAGCTATACTCTTCTTGCTAGATCTGTTAGATTTCTTTTATTCCTGAATTCCAGAAATGGTGAAAGTTTCTGGAGTTGGATTCATTTATTTTACATTGAATGTGTTTTTTTTTTTTTTTTTGATTTAGATGCAGACAGGACCATGTTGTGTTTTGGATTACTTGAGATTTACTATCTGAATAGTTCATCGTACTGATTTTTTTGTGAACTTCTTTGATAGAGTTAATAAGAGGATTGATGATGAACTATTCTTGTTTTGTGTGTATGGTAACTTTATGAATTAATTATTTATTACTTAGATTCTGCAGTTGTGTCTTCTTGATTCCTAAATAAATAAATAATGTTAAAGACTTCACTTTTCATGCTTCCTATCATTAGCAATGTCAAAGATGCTTCCTTTTTTTTAAAATCATTTTTCTTCTTACCTGCTGAATTAACAATTTATGTATATCCAGGTTTTGTATTTGGTCAACAACATCAGAAACATGCGTGCTCAGAAGTTGGAGTCCTATAGACTGTATTGTTGTGAACGTTGTTAAGGTGCATAGTTGTCATTGAAGGATGCACGATTTTTATATTCAGCTCTAATGAAGAACGAACAGGTTCGTCCTTAAGAGTGAAAATTGATTCTCTTTACTTTTGCTCTTCTCCAACTTGCCAAGCAACAATTGCCTGGTGAAGTGTTCTAAGTAAGCTATATATATCAATAACATCCAAGGATTAGGTCAACACTTAGATAGGAAGTGGAGCCATGATAGAAATTTCATTATTAAGATCAATTGATCCTTTCATAGTTATTGGTATGCTTGATTGTGAAGAAAGTTGTAGCTAAGAAGTGAAAAAGTAAAAGAGAGTTTTAATTGGATTACAGAGCACACAACAGTTGAAGTCTTCTTCTACCCAAGTTTCACTTGAGTCCCAAGGTGAACAAAAAGTTAATCAATCAATAGAAGCTCCTATACAAGATTCTGGTTCTGTATCTGCCTCAAGTAATGACGGTAGGAAAGTTTCAAGGCAAGATATTGAACTTGTAAGAAAAACTTTGCCACCTTCCCCTCTGTAGATACCTTCTTCTTGTAAGTATCAATCATTTGATAAAAAAAATCATGTTCTAAATGATTGTTGCAGGTCCAAAATTTGATAGAAAGATGTCTTCAGTTGTACATGAACAGAGATGAGGTCGTCAAGACACTCTTGACCCGTGCAAGGATTGACCCTGGTTTTACAACCTTAGGTATAGTCACTTTTACTATTCCATAACCTTTAGCAAAGTAACATTGTGTTAGTAACTTGCCACGTTCTTGTGAATTTAGTATGGCAGAAACTTGAAGAAGAAAACGAAGAGTTTTTCAGGGCATATTACATCAGGCTGAAACTGAAGAAGCAAATAGTTGTATTCAACTATTTGCTGGAGCATCAGTATCACCTCACGAAGTATCATGTACATCCGAAAGTTCCGCTGGTCCCGATGCAGAACGGTATTCATCCCATGGCATCTGGTAAGTCTGACTCCTTATATCACTTGCAAAGCAAACTTGTTGGTGTAGATGGTTCAATGAGTTGTTTGTGGTTGGTTTCAGTATTATTATAACACTAAATGTTTGCAGCGCAGTGAACAACATGCCCATGGGATACCCAGTACTACAACATCCTCAGATGCATGCTCAAGGTCATCCCCATCTTGATCCAATGAGCTGTGCAATGTCAAGCTGCCATGTGGTCAATGGAGTCCCTGCACCTGCAAATTTCCAACCAATCAGGATTAACTCAGGAAATGAGTAAGAACTTTGTACTTTTTTTTTGTTTTGCCAAATCAATGCTTTTTCTGGTGCTTTAGACTTAAAAACTATTTTTTTTGGGTGTAGTATGGTCATAGATACAACCATGGCTGAGCCAACTCCAATGATTCCACCAAACAGTGGTATGTCGGATATGCCAGTGAGTCCAGCTTCTGTGGCGTCAAGTGGACACTTTCCATTTGCTGCTTCAGACATGTCAGGGATGGGAATGGACACATCAGCTCTTGATTCTGCTTTCACATCTGATGTCGCAACTTCAGTAGGGTTGCAACTTGGATCAGATGGAGGAGCTGGAAATTCTAGAGACCCTCTCAGGCCATTTGATCAGATACCTTGGAACTTTAGTCTCTCTGACCTCACTGCAGATTTGTCAAATCTTGGAGGTAATAAGCTCTCTTTATCCAAAGCCATTGCGACTTTAGCTCGAAAAACTTTAACCATACGTTGGTAGATGCTCCATGTGATGTACTCCATAGAATGTTGCATATCAATGATCTTCTACATTGCAGATTTAGGGGCCTTAGGAAACTATCCCGGTTCACCTTTTCTTCCATCCGATTCAGAGATTTTACTCGATTCTCCTGAGCAAGAGGACATCGGTAAACAGTGATCAATTTTTATAAGAATGGTTTGAACATGGAGTGTTTCAAACTTGGTTTGCTTATAGATTTAAATGTTTCATGTTCTATGATCACTAACTAATATCTTCGTTTCTGTATCCCGTAGATGAATTCTTTGTGGATTCGGTTCCAGGACCTCCATGTTCACAGTCAGAAGAAGACAAGTCTTAATCAAGAATTCAAGATTATGATATTTGACAAGTCTTTATTTGCTTGTCTTAGTATCTTAGCAAGCAAGCAAGGTTTGTGCCGTCTCGCTATATTAGAGAAAACCTCCAAACGGATTTAAAGGTTTTCATGATCTCTTTTTTTCCTCTTCTAAGGTTAATGAGATAGACTTAGATTAATTTCTTAGTGTTCTTTATTGTACACCTTTATTTTGAGATTCTGCAAGCATGTAGAGACCAAATCATTGTATAATATCTAAGTATCTCCCAATACTCTATTTTCTTGTTGGATAGTTCATTAGTATGTATGGGAGTATCTCACTTTTTTCCTTCTAACAAATATTCCGTATTATAGAAATCTATAAAAGTCATTACATAATAAATAACTCGTGGAAATTGGTTTTGAGCTTTAAGGAATGATTGATCTTTTGTTTTTCACAAAGAGAGAATGATTGATTATTTTGTAAGGAGAAAATGACGTACTCAAAAATCAGAAAAAGAAATGACGTACGCCAAAAAAAAAAGTATAAAAGTCTCTTCAAGACTATCCACAAAACACCAAACCAGGATAAAAAAATTTGTATTTGGAATAGAAAAATCATTGATTTCGTATACAGGTAGACTAATCAACATTTGTGGATTCAGAATTTCATATACCGTGAATGCACATAATAAACTAGGTCCATAAAGTGAAAAAAATTACAAATATTAAGAGTATTGAGTCATCATAACTCATCATAATTATATGAAAAACAAAAAACAAAATGAGTGTTTGTTATACATCAAAATATTAGCGAATGACCATTGATATATAAAAAAAAATACTGAACATATTTAGGTAATATATTAAGTATATTATGGTAAGGACGACAATATATCCATATATAAGTTGAATTAGTAAATTACAAATATAGAAATCTTGTTTTCATATTTCATCTCAAGAAAAACCAAATTGGAATTGTAATTTTTAGGGTTGACTAACTCAGTCTTCGTCAAAAGTCAACTCAACTTTTTTATTTTTTTCTTTTCCAAAATTGATTATTATTGTATACTTGTCTTTTTCATGTGTTTCCCAGCCTCGTTTCTTCTTCACTTATTGTATAATTGTATTCTTGTCTTCAAAGTTGTACTATATCACTACCTACTTCGCCCAAATTAGAACATCATTATCTTCAAGAGTCTCTTTTTTCTTCATACTATTTCAAGAAAGAATTAAACTTCTTTTCCTTTTGATTTTTTCTGTCGGGAAGACTTTTAAGTTCCATTTCTTTTCCGGGAAACATCTTCGTTCATTTGTGTGCTCTAGTCGTCCCTCTCAACTCAAATCAAGGTTTTATTCTTTAGAAGTTTTATTCTTCATTTCGCAACTTTTTTGAACTTCAAACAGTTAAAATTACTCTGTTTTGTCAGCTTGCTCTTTTCGTGGTAGAAGGGTTTTAGTATAAACTGGATTTTATAAAACGTGGAAATAAATAAAAATTGAGATCGAATCTTTTCCATTTTTCCGAAGGTTCAAGAATCTGTGGAAGATAACAAGCAGATATGATGAATCCCCAAAGAAACAAATTCGTAAGGTTTGTATCAGTTCTTCCTTTTGATTAATAATTACGATTTTAAGAAGTGATCTTGATTCTAGTGTGTTGATCCAGGTTTAATGGAAATGATGAGTTTTCGACCAAAACTACTAGACCATCAGTAACTTCAGTTATGAAAACCGTTAGACGAGGCTTCGAAAAGGGGTCAGCGAAAATCAGAACCTTTAAGCAGCCCTTGAGCTTTCATTCAAAGAAGAATCAAGAAAACAAGAAGAAGAAGATACTAAGAGTGATGAATCCTAACGATTCTTATCTTCAAAACTGGAACAAGATTTTCTTGCTTCTCTCTGTTGTGGCTTTAGCCTTTGATCCTCTGTTTTTCTATATCCCCGTTGTGAACCCCGTGAGATTCTGTCTTAATCTAGATACGAAACTCGAGGCAATCGCTTGCATTTTCCGCACTTTCATCGACGCTTTCTATGTGGTTCACATGCTGTTTCAGTTTCATACCGGTTTCATCGCTCCTTCGTCTCGTGGTTTCGGAAGAGGAGAGCTTAATGAGAATCCTAAAGAAATCGCTATAAGATACCTCAGCTCATACTTTCTGGTTGATCTTCTTTCGATTCTCCCTATTCCGCAGGTAAAAATGTTTTCTCAAATCTGTTTTTCAAGATCTTGGTTACATATCAAATGAATCTTTAAAATTTTGATTTTCTTTGCAATTACAGGTAGTTGTTCTAGCTATTGTTCCAAGGATGAGAGTACCCGCGTCGCTGGTAGCAAAAGAGCTATTGAAATGGGTAATATTTTGCCAATATGTTCCGAGGATAGCTCGGATCTATCCCCTTTTTAAAGAAGTAACAAGGACTTCTGGTTTGGTAACTGAAACTGCTTGGGCTGGAGCTGCTTTAAACCTATTCCTCTACATGTTAGCTAGCCACGTAAGAAAAGAGTATTTTCATTGATTTCTTTGCACGACTTAGGTTATGTTCTGGGGCTAAAATAATAACGGTTAGAAAATTGCGAAAAATGGACAGGTTTTTGGGTCTTTTTGGTACTTGATTTCGATAGAAAGGAAAGATAGATGTTGGCGCGAAGCGTGTGCTAAGATAGTTGGATGCAGTCATGAAAAACTGTACTGTTCACCAACAGGGGAAGACAATAGGCAGTTTTTAAACGGTTCTTGTCCTTTGATCGATCCCGAAGAAATCTCAAACTCGACGGTTTTCAACTTTGGTATATTCGCTGATGCATTGCAGTCTGGAGTTGTGGAGTCTAGAGATTTCCCTAAGAAGTTTTTCTACTGTTTCTGGTGGGGTCTCCGCAATCTTAGGTATGTAACATCTAAAACTCTTACTATAGCGATTCCTTTACTTTTTGTTGTCTAATTAATAGATGAATCTTATCTTTTTGTGTATAGTGCTTTGGGCCAAAACTTGAAGACGAGTACCTTTGAAGGAGAGATCATTTTTGCGATTGTCATTTGTGTCTCTGGACTAGTCTTGTTTGCTCTTCTCATTGGAAATATGCAGGTAATTATTTCTCTTCTTCTTTGAGCTCAACCTCTTAAACAAGGAATCCACCATATTCTTAAATATTTCTGTGATTTGTAGAAATATTTGCAATCAACTACTGTAAGAGTTGAGGAAATGAGAGTGAAAAGGAGAGATGCAGAGCAATGGATGTCTCATCGGATGTTGCCAGACGATCTGAGAAAACGTATCCGTAAATACGAACAGTATAAATGGCAAGAAACCAAAGGAGTTGAGGAAGAAGCTCTTCTCTCTAGTCTTCCAAAAGATCTCAGAAAGGACATTAAACGCCATCTTTGTCTCAATTTGCTCAAAAAGGTAACCTTTTATTATTTTGTCCCATCACAACTATATATCACTAAATAACCAACTCTTCTTGAATTCACTGTTTTTGTTTTGTTTTGTTTCAGGTGCCTTGGTTTCAAGCTATGGATGATCGGTTACTAGACGCTCTATGTGCTCGTCTCAAAACGGTTCTTTACACAGAGAACAGTTACATTGTGCGCGAAGGTGAACCAGTGGAAGATATGTTGTTTATAATGAGAGGAAATCTAATAAGCACAACCACTTATGGTGGCAAAACTGGTTTCTTCAATTCGGTTCGCTTAGTTGCTGGTGATTTTTGTGGAGATCTTCTCACTTGGGCATTAGATCCTCTCAGTTCAAACTTCCCTATCTCTAGTAGAACCGTTCAAGCTTTGACAGAAGTCGAAGGCTTTGTTCTCTCAGCTGATGATCTCAAGTTTGTTGCTACTCAGTATCGCCGCCTCCATAGCAAGCAACTCCGACACATGTTCAGGTAAGACTTTCAATTGAAAAAATGCATGCTGAGTTAATCATAAACATATTGAATATTGAGGACCTATTGTATACATATCTAGTGTCTCAAGTTACCTTCAACATAATAACCCTGTCTTTTTATCATCTACCTTGTATCTTGTATCCCAAGTTACCTTGAATTTTGTAACCTAAACAACTTTTTGTCTCCAGGTTTTATTCGGTGCAATGGCAGACATGGGCAGCATGTTTTATACAAGCAGCATGGAAGAGACATTGTAGAAGGAAGCTCTCAAAGGCTTTACGTGAAGAAGAAAGCAAACTACATAACACTCTTCAGAACGATGATTCAGGAGGCAATAAGCTTAACTTAGGTGCTGCGATTTATGCGTCGAGGTTTGCTTCTCATGCTCTGAGGAATCTAAGGGCGAATGCAGCAGCACGCAACTCTAGATTTCCTCATATGTTATCTTTGTTGCCTCAGAAACCAGCCGATCCGGAGTTTTCTATGGATGGAACCTAATTGTGTATAGTTGACTCTATCTCTATGTAATGTGATCGCTAGTGATTTTTTTGCAAATAATTATGTAACCAGTAAAGATCTTTATGTGAAATAATCAATAGGAAAATTTCTTAAAGAGTTTAATAAAAAAAAAAACAAAAACACTAGAAAGTTTCTAATTCCTAATAAGGAAAAGGATTCTCATTAAAGCATTCTCATTAAAAAAAAAAAAAAAAAGCATTCTCATTAAACATTGTTTTTTATGAAAAAAAGGAAATAAAGCCATCGAAAGAAAAGGAAATTGAAATAAGGAAACATATATCCTCCAACGGCTCTATTGTAATCTCTTGTGTATAAATAATACATTCATGATCAATAATACCTAATTAACACTTTGCTTCTTCTATTTCTTCCTTGAGAGAGAAATATCAAAATTCTCTCTATTTCTCGCTTCTTCTTCGAATGTCTTTATACAGAAACTCTTTGAATTCCGATGATCCAATTAGATTGATCGGCGATATTGATGATCACTATCTCAGCCTTAAACGCTTCACTATTATCTCTTTCTCTGTTAATCGCGTCCTTTTGTTGTAGTCGTCGGATCTGCTATTGCTCCTTAGGGTTTTCTCGTGGAGCCAATGCGAAAGAGGAGTTTTTGAAAGAGGTTAATCGAGTGGAGGAGTTTCTCAAGGATCCTTGTGTTTCTTCCAAGGTTTTCAATGGAGATACCGTTCAGGTTAGGGTTCCTAAGGTAGTTCCTGCTCCTCAGACGGCTTCGATTTTGGGGGTTGGAATGGAGATGGTGCTATTGGTTCTGGAGTTGATGAATTGGCGGAGGAAGCTTCTGCTCAGAAGAAACGTGTTGCTCTTCAGAGACAAGCTGCTGTTACGGTCGAAGCTGCTGAGGATTATGCTCGTAGGTTTGAATCTGGGGTCATAATTGCTTTTGCTCTTAGGAATGAGAGTGTTATAATTACTGGGATTAGCTTGTGCCCTAAAAGATTGATTCTTCAGTTCATATGAATGAATTTAATTCGTTTATGTGAATGCCCTTACTTGTTTCAGTCATTTCTGTGTCAATCCTGACAATTTAATTGGATGGAATTGGTTTACTGCAATTATTGCTTTGCTTTTGGGACCTTTAAAGGGAATCTTCGCTACTTAAGAAGGAGCAAGAGCTGCTTGTTGCTGAAGAAACAGTTGCCAGCAAGGAATCTGTGAGTTTACTTGTTCAATCCGACCAACCTTGTAGTTATCATTCATACTTTTAGTTTTGTTTAATGAAAATGCTTTTTAACTTTCAATACAGGAGGAACTAATTCAGAACGTCTTAGCAAATCAAGAAAGAAAAGGATATAACAGAGAAGTCCTATAACCTTGAAGAGAAAGAGAAGAATTTGATTGCTACAGAGAAAGATATTAAGACAACTCTGCTGGAGAGTGAGATGGAACGGCTTAGAAAATTATAAAATGGGAATTGATGATATGTGAACAAGTTTCTGAACAACCACGACTCCTGAGGAATTCAGGATTTCACGACCACCAGTATCTTTTCTTTCTTACTTTTTTTTTAATCATAAATCATAATAATTTTGATTTTTAAAAAATAATAAAGATTTTTACCAAAATTTTTAAAACATTTAACACTTAAATTTTAAAAAAATAATTAATAAATTTTAACTAAAACCATCTTAGTTTCACTATTATTTTTTTAAAATTAGTTTAAGTGTTCAATTTTAAAAACGTCGAAAACTAACCGCGCCTAGGCAACCTATCCTTAGTTGGTCCGTAAGCTTTGGTGTTCGAAGTTCGGCATGTTTTCACGTAATATAGATTAACACGTAAACTAATTTTTAAAAATTAATAATGATTTTCACTAAATTTTTTAAACAAATCTAAAATTTAAAACTGTAAGAAAATAATTAACAATTTATAACTAAAACAATGTTAATTTTAGTATTACTTTTTAAAAATTAGTTTAAGTGTTCAATTTTTAAAACGTCGAAAACAAACCGCGCCTAGGCATCCTGTCCTTAGTTGGTCCGTAAGCTTTTGGTTTTCGAAGTTCGGCATGTTTTCAAGTAATAGAAATTTAACACTGAAACTCATTTTTAAAATTAATTATGATTTTAACTAAAATTCAAAACAAATTTAACACTTAAACTTTAAGAAAATTATTATTAATTTTTAACTAAAACCATGTTAATTTCACTATTACTTTTCAAAAATTAGTTTAAGTGTTAAATTTTAAAAACGTCGGAAATAAACTGCGTCTAAACATTCTATCCTTAGCTGGTCCGTAAGCTTTGGTGTTCGAAGTTCAGCATGTTTTCACGTAATAGAAATTTAACACTTAAAATCATTTTTAAAAAATAATAATGATTTTCACTAAAATTTAAAACAAATTAAACACTTAAAATTTTAAAAAATAATTAATAATTTTTAACTAAAACCATGTTAATTAAAATAATGATTTAGTTAATTTGAATCGACTCATAACAATTTTTTGAACATTAAATGGTACCAAATGGGGAAGTTGTAAAAAGAAATTGGGTATTTTGTGAATATTGTTGAAAGTTGGAGGGGAAAGAGTGAGACTGCAGAGCCCCCACGTAGACTTGAGAATCCTTAAGGTTGGGTATTTTAAGAGAATCAAAAATTCAAACGAAATAATGGAACTAAATAACTGGTTTTTATTACTAATAAAATATCTTTATATCAAATATGAATTTACCCATTAGAAAACCGAACAAACCAAAGTACATTATAAAATTAGTTTTATCATTGATATATAAAATAAACAGAAGATTTAGATTATATTTAAAGACATAGCTAAGAGTGTTTACTTGAGACGGTAGACTTAGGTCTTATCTCTCTATTGGTGGTCCGGCTTGGCATCACTCTCGAATTGAAGAGGAACAACGTGTGTGTTTAGTCTTTTTGTGACTTACAATTGGGTCTATGTGTGTTGACTGTTGACAGCCTAGCTAACGCTTAAAGATTTTTTGAACATTCAATGGTAGCAAATGGGCAAGTTGTAAAAAGAAGACAAGTAGAGAATATTATTGTAAGTTCGAGGGAAAAGAGTGAGACTGCAGATGCCCCACCGTAGACTTTACTTTCTCAAGTCCGTTTAGCTCATCACTCTGAAAAGTCTGCATCCACAGTCTTGGTTAAAGCTTGGAACATCGATTAGCCCACCATTTCTCACTGCCACAGCCATTTTTCATTTTCTCTTTCTCTCATTGCAGATTGACATATACAACCATGTATTAATATTACAGGAGGAATAAATTTGACAGGTAGCTTGATGAACTAGTTTAAAATAGCTTCAATGTCTACTATTTTTATTTTTATTATTGGTTGTAGTGATCATATCTTGTTGATACAGGCTTAATCATACTAGGAATTTGGCGAGTTCTGTTGATGGAAAATTCAAAAGTGGTAGAGGACGCTTGAAGAAATTTTACCGGAAGATGAAAACACTCGAAAACTGGAGGAAGACTGTCTTGTTAGCTTGCGTGGTTGCTTTGGCTATTGATCCTTTGTTTCTCTTTATCCCTTTGATTGATTCTCATAGATTTTGTTTCACTTTCGACAAGACAGTTGTGGCAGTAGTTTGTGTCATTCGTACTTTAATTGACACATTCTATGTCATTCACATCATTTATTATCTTATAACCGAGATTATTGCTCCTCGTTCTCAAGCATCTTTGAGAGGCAAGACTGTCGAGCATTCTAAGGATACTATGAAAACACGTCTCCTCTTTCGCTTCATGGTTGACATTTTCTCTGTTCTCCCCATTCCTCAGGTATTCCTCAGGTATTGATCTCTTAGTTTTGTGACATCTACTTTTCCATGGTGCATTAATCTTTTTATTAGAAGATATGTGCGATGCAAAATTGTAGGTGGTGGTTGTCACTCTCATTCCACGATCTGCCTCGCTGGTGTCAGAGGAAATACTGAAATTGATTATACTTTGTCAATATTTACCAAGGATCATTCGTATGTATCCGCTTTACAAAGAAGTGACAGGAGCCGTTGGTACGGTAGCAGAATCAAAGTGGATTAATGCAGCTTCTTTAAACTTTTTCCTTTACATTCTGCACAGTTATGTAAGTCTTTGCTCTTGATCCCACCCACTGTTGTTGTTTCGTTATACGGGTACGTACGGCAACAAAAATGGTTACAACTGTGATGATGGCTACTAGGTGATTGGGGTTTTTTGGTACGTGAGTTGAATAGAAAGGAAAAGCAAATGTTGGCGTGCCGCGTGTGCTAGGACATCCGGCTGCCATCATATCTCAGGAATCTGATTTGTAAACGAGGTGGCGGAGACAACAGTCGTTTCCTGAACAAGTCATGCCCATTAATCGACCCTGACAAAATCACAAACTCCACAGACTTCGACTTTGGTTTGTACATTGATGCATTGAAGTCAGGGGTGCTAGAGGTGAAACCAAGGGATTTTCCGAGGAAATTCGTCTATTGCTTTTGGTGGGGTCTCCGTAATATTAGGTAATCTCTATGCTGTGACATTCCTAGTAGACATATCCATCCATTGCATAGATTAACCCGCTCTTTTAACAATTACAGTGCTTTGGGCCAAAACCTGCAGACAAGCAACTCTACAGGGGAGATTATTTTTGCTATCATCATATGTGTCTCTGGTTTACTCTTGTTTGCTGTGCTCATTGCAAACGTTCAGGTTAGAACTAGAGTTTGATCTCATAAATTAAAGCTGATTCTTAATAGATTTTTTTTGGTGATCACACAAGTACTTGCAAGCATCTACAATTAGAGAAAAAAAAGAAAGGATAAAAGAAATGGAGGAGGAGAAAAAGGAGAAAAAGAAGATTATGAGAGACACTGAAAAATGGATGTCCTATCGGGTGATACCAGAATGTTCCAGAAGACCTCAGACTCGAAACCCAACGCTATCTTTACTTGGATACGTTAAAGCGTGTAACCTCCCTTTTCGTGCGTGATTAATGATCCCTGTATCTCCCAGAAATAATAGCTTTTTCACCTCTCAGGTTCCATGGCTTAGCTTCATGGATGATGGTTGGCTACTAGAAGCTGTGTGCGACCGGGTGAAGCCTGTGTTCTACTCAGCGGACAGCTACATAGTGAGA